CAGCTCATGATAGTGTCTATTTTAAACATGGTTTACTGGCATTATTTTGCTTTGTGTCAGTGACATATTATCGTTTATTGCAATATATCCCTTTAACATACATATATTGTCCTATAAATTGTTATTGTGACAAGCCTAGTTCTGAACTGTGCATACTGTGGTCTCCTTGAGCAAGACACTTCACCCCTTTTGCATGTGTAAATGTTGTGGATGAGAGAGTGATTTGTGGCAGGCATTGGTTTCCACAGATTGGCAGCCATACTTCTGCCATTTAGTCAGCTGCATGAAATCTCCCGGCTTTGAGAATTATTCCTTCTCATTTACTATGCTATTATTGCCACGGCTACATACTTGAAACAGTAAACAGTATATTCAAACATTATAAAGTGAGCTGTTTTACGACATCCTCAGCATGTGAATAAAAGCTTGGACTTATAGGGATCTTTCTGCCTTAACCTCCGCCTTTTAGTCTGCTATAACAGCCATAACAGGCTCATTTGCTTTCGACAAAGGCCATTTCCTGCTAATGGTCATTGTGAATCAGTTAAGATGGGAGTCGCTACTAACACTAGTAACATTATCATTTGGAATCATATGTCAAGTTACTGTTGCTCGTCCCCTGAGAGGCGTTGGAAATAGTGGAAGCAGCTGGGAATGTAAAAGTGATTTTAGAGATGACAGTTGGTCATCTCTGGGCTTTAGGTGGTGGGTTTTTTTTTTATTGGAATTGTCAAACGGGTCTCAACAAAAAGACCAGGTACTAAATCATTGGATCAAAGTATTTGAAGGTGAGTGTGCAACCAAATCTTTTAATCCCATTTTTAGTTCACTTTCCACTTCTGCTTGATTTTCTTTTGTTTCCTTAGATATGAAAAAAATGTGTTCAGTGTGACTAGTTTGGTAATCTCTTCTGACACTACTTGAACCTCATTTTCAAATCTGTCTGTGATGGTTTTTAAAACTGAAGAAGACATTTATGTGAAATTCATCAACTTGCACACGAGACACAATATTTATGCTAGAACATTCTTGGGTTTGAGAAAGCTTGTTATCACTTGAGTCTTAATTAAAAGCTGATCTGATTCACTCTCTTTATGTTCTTGTGTTGGCATACATCTGTGCAATTTCTTCTCTTGGTTTAAGTTCCTGCAGGCAATGTCTGGGATATTGTCTCTAGGAACATTTTTATTGTACATGACACACCTTCCCTCTTATTCCCCCACTGACAAAACAACAGGCACTGATGCTGACATTTTCTGCCACAGGCTCCATTAGCACTCTCAAGTGTGACTAAATATTGTTATTTATTTGGCAGCTCCGAATGTAATGTACTTAGCAATTTCCAGATGGATTTTCACTTTTTCCCCATAGCGGCATGCATTTTCTAGTCATAACGAAAGGTGCACTGTGTAAGTTTTCTAGTGGAGCATTTCTGTCTGTTCATGGTTTGACACATGACGCTACCAGACCAATTTACAAGTCAGGGCTGTGGAGAGGTGTGCCTGGTCATAGTGCGAATACATATTTTTCAAGCTAATTTTGGATCACCAGTAAATGAATAAAGGCAAATGCTATGCCAAGTTTAATGCCATATTCAGGTAAAGAGATAACAACTCGATGGAGATGAGCAAGTAGCTGACTTTAGCAGCAGATTTTTTATTTTTTTTATTTTTTTTGTGAACATACAGTTTAAAATTGGAACAACAGACCAGCAGAAAGTAGATGTAGTTGCCAATTTATTGCATGCACCTTTTTAGAATCCTTGTTCTTAAAATACTATACAGGCTTCAGAAACTTTCTGTACTCATTAAGTGTAATGTAGTTTGTTTGCCATGATAGACACAATGCTTTATGTACAGAAAAATGTAATCATGTCATTGGTGGGTCTAAATTATCTTTGTGAATTGACCAAAAGTCCTTTTTGAGCTTGTTTCAGAATCTGTTTTTCAGTCAGAGTGTCAACTCTTGGAGAATGACAGATGTCCATATGTTTCAGTTTTACATGAGCAGAAAGCTGAATTTATGTGCAGATAAACGAATCAATGGCAACAAAGGCAAGACTTATGAGGCAAGGAGTCTGGCTCACAAAGAAAAGGAAGATGGCACTGAAATCTCTGCACTGTAACTCAAGCGACTGAAGCATTTGGTTGAAGACTCACTTATAATGGCATTCACATTTTTTTAAGCAAGAGACACACAAACAAATACTTTTTCTCCAGTACTGTTTGGCATACAAAGGACTTGCATCAAAGTATGGCTGCTGGGATGTTGTTAAGGTTAAGGTGTGAATTTACTTAACTAAATCACAACTGATCCTAGAAAGAAAAGCGACGGTAGCTCAGTTGATAGGGTACCTTCATGGTAGAAAAGTGCTGTATAAATGTGACCATTTTACTATTTGACAGTGAAGTGATAAAAGTGAATATACTGACCAGTTTTTATATAATCATTAAGCCATGTTACATGACAAAATGATGCAAAAATAATTAGCACAAGCCAAGTTCTTTATTACCATCAGCTGATCAACCATCCTGAAGGGCGTGTGGTCTTTGACAGGGACATTGCACATTAAATGTATTGTACAAACCAGATTTAGCTACAAGCTAAATTTCATCTGTAGTCCCTGTGTGTGGTAGAGAAGGGGTGTTGGAAATTTCTGGTTGCAAACATTACCTAGAAGCTAATCCATTTAGCATGGCGCCGTGTCATTGGCTGGATGTGGTTAGAGAAGTTGAGGTTGCAGGCATGTTTAAAATGGGCCATTCAAAATAAGAGGAGTCAAACTACCATTGTTCCATTACATGTATTCAAGCCTTTTTTCATTCTTTGGATTGTAATATGGCATCCTAGATATTCATTTGTAGTTCCATCAACCTGAAAGGATCACTGATTAACAAGCTACAGACACATCCAAAATTTTGGAAAGGGAAATTCGTTCCATTGTAGACTTTGGAATTTGCTCCATGTGCACATTACACATTGACCCTGAGGAGGACAGTCAGTGTCACTGTTAGACTCAGCTCAGTCAGCTCTATCTAAAGGTTTGATTTTCCAATTGTCTGTGATGGTTGGAGAACCAGCTCTTGATTATACAAAATGTGAATGTAATCAGATTGAGTATGCAGTTACACCATTTTACAGAAATATAAGGAGCACTAAAAGCCTATCAAATCAACTATTAGTCAGCAAGAATCAAAATACATTCAAACACGAGTGTCATGTCAACTTAAAACTTTGCTGTTGTGCTCATGCTATCAGAGGTAATTTAGCATGCATGTGTTAGCAGACATGACCTTATCAGCTGCTGTTGTCTCATTACCATACACACACAGTCATTCAATCAGAGCAGCAAAGGGCACAGGCCTTTGACAGTGAGAGAGGATTAGAATGCTATCCACGGAAATGAGTTTATGGAGATTTAAATAAATTAACCTTCAGTGAATTCCCGGAGCCTTGGGCAAACTGCAGAGATCTGAAGAGGAATCGTCTCATTTCACTAATTCTATAATAGTCCTACATTCTTTGTAAGTTCCTCTGCGTTTTGATTGACATACCACTGTAAAATGTTATTTAATATTGCAGTGAAAAATTAAGACCAGCTGACTACATTAGTTATTGCTGTTGTCCTCTGGGTGCATGCTGACCACAACTTTACTCTGCTTCATAACATTTATGCATGGTTCAAACTTGGGGCATGCATCTCTTATCCATTCAGGTTTTTGTTTCTTAAAATGATTTTTTTAATGAGTATAGCCTGCGGTAAATAGTGTGCGGCCTTGTTTATAGTGTGTACTTACATGAACTGCAGTGCTTTTGTCTCTATAAATACTCAGGAAGTGAATAGTTTGGCTTATAGCCTCATAGCTGCTTGTCATGCTTCAGAGTCCCGTGTTAAGCCCCATCAGTCAGACACCTTGTTTATCAGTATGTTATGGGTGGTCAGTGCCTTTTTTAGAAGTCTTTGACCTCATGATGTGGCGTTGTGCCCGAGCCTTCTCTGAACAGTACAATATCTCATTTAGTGTTGATGACAGATTGTGTCAAAGCCTTTAGTCCCAGAGGTCTTGTGACTGTTTTATCGGTAACCCTATGAGACTCCAGGGTAATTTTGGATCCTGATCGCAGAAAAGTCGGCTGACCCACACTGGGATCAGCTCGACCACACTGTCACTCACCATGACACTTTGCATTTGGGTGGGTTTGAATGACAGTCAGACCGATATTTAATGCCACGAGTGTTTTTTTTTAAAATAAACTGTGGGAAACGTCTCAAGAATATAATATAGTAATAATAAAGCTTTTCCTTTCCAAATACAAAATACCAGAACAAAAACAAACTTTATTTTAGTGCAGTAGAAAACAGCAATCTCTTACTATATTGGAAATGTCAATGTCCTCCTTTGCTCTACCCTTTGCTCAGACAAATGAACACAGTGGTCTACATGACCCATGGTCACTTCTACTCTTCCTTTAACAGTCCACACTGAGACATCCTCTGGAGCACACACTGTGTTGTACTGACGCGCTGCATTATTCATCAGCACTATTGCCTTTGTTATCCCACTACAGGCGCGTTAGAACTCCAGCAGCAGAGTTCAATGTACCATTAATGGACAATGTCTTTGTGATATAAGGCAGGCCATTATCTGGTGTCCGCCCTCTATATCATCCAAAGGCAGGCTAAAGTTTGGCTTAGAGTTCAATCCTTTCCATTTCCTCTATGTTCTTGAAGCTATCGTGTCTCCACCCAGTCTCCTGGTGTTTATTCTTCCCTTCCTCTGGCAGCGACCCTCCCAGAAACACTCCCCTCTCTGTCCAGATGTGAGACCTAAACACTCCATCCATCAGGCTCAACATAAGACACTATACATTATACAAACCACACCTGCAATAGAAACCCGTGACACACAGTAACAACAAACAGAAGAAGTGGGTCAATATTGCTACATGAAATATACATAAAAAGAGTAATCTGAAATGATCTTTGTTTTGTGTTGCAGGACTCAACCCTCTGTCCTTTGATCCAGCGGCCAACAATGAGCCTCTACAGTTCAATAACTCCACTGGACCACTGGTGAGCGAGTGCTCTCCTTTAGAGAATGGAACGGAGAACACTAAGAAGAGGAAGAGGTCCTCTCTGCCCACAGGTACTATTCCTTCACTGTCTTTCTAGTCACTTATTGATTATATATGAAACAATTCTACTAACAGTGGGATTTGAACTCTGTCAGTCTAGTAATTTATGAATCTCTAATGTGTTTTTAAATTTTAACTTAAAACTAGAGTGGCTGATTTTCAAATTGTGGGTGCACCTGAGCCAGAAACCTTTCACAAATTAATACCAAAAAATCATTATTCTCATAATTCTTAAATGCCAGTGGACACTGATAAAAATAAAGCAGTATATTACTTTCTCACTATCCCAGTCTCTTTGCATTGACCTTTGGTGTGAGTGCTATTGATTCTTCAGAGAAAGCTTATTGCTCCAGATACAAAAGACCCATCCTGTGAAGAAAACGGCTATGTTTTTCAATAAGTAAAATAAAAAAATAAAAAAATCTTCAACAATAAATAACAGATTCCATTTGAAACAATAGCCCATTATCCTTCACTACTCAATAACTCAATAAAATGTGGAGCTTTGCAATTCACTGTTGGGTTGTCTCATATGAATCCTTAAATCCTTACTTTTTGCCTTCTGCAAGGTTTATGACCCATGATGATTATGATATCATGTGAGTTTCCAAAAAAGATTAATTCTTCCTTCTTAACTGACTGCGATTAGATGAAATTTTATCTTAATGTCATGTGTGTGTTTTTCTTATGTGATGCATTTTCGCATGGAATTATTTCACACACGATTAGCTGTAAATTGCTTAACATTCTTCATTGTCACGGCTAAAACAAGTCTGGAGTCACTTAATTCTATTGATGTGTCCTCTACTGCCTAAGCAACAATTCAACTGAAGGCAACTGCAGCTCTTTATAGGCTCTGGTGCCTGTTCAGTGTTCAATACACTTCAAAAGAGAGGGTACACAAGCTATCAGTCCAAATTACCTCTATACTGTATCCAGTTGTCCTTAAAGAACCATGTTTATCTCTGTTAAACATCAGCCTAACAAGATAACACGGTACACTGAATACACTTCTGAAGTAACCAGATCATTTCCAGAACCAAAGATATTAATATACAAAGTTAGTCAACCAGAAGTCATAGTAAGTCTTATGTTTTTAGATCTTTTTTTTTTTTTTTAATAACTACAAACTATTCTGGGTGCGTGGGACGAAGTATGAGCCGCTTACACTGTTGTGCCAAAAATCTTGATTAGCTTTATGGCTTCCTTATCACGCCTTAAGAACTCACATCTGTTGCTGAATCATATAGTCTCAGGTGTGTTCTTGTTTAGACGTACTCATTAAGTCTTTAGTTTGCTGCGGTTGTCCTTGTCTTAACATGTGGCAGCGGTTATAGGCTATTCCACAGCTGTTCCTCTCTAATGGAGCTGGTTCATACTTGAAACTACAGCACTGCTCACAACACTATTTTGATTCTAAATCTGTACTCACTCCATGTGTTGTCTTTCTTCAAGTCTTCTCATCAGTGTGTGTTATTTTGGCTTTATTTTAGGATCTCAGTATTTGAACTGGACCAAATTTTGACGATGGAGCTAAATCTATGTGTTTGCAAAGATGTCACTATGGAAGGCTAGCAATATTAAGATTAAGCTAAAAAATCCAGTACATCAAAGAGATTATGCCGCAGAGTTATGGCTAACTTTTAAAAAATGTGCTTTTTTAATGTTACATTTAATTTTAAGTCTTGTTGTGCTGCCTGTAATGTTCCAAAGTATATCTACCTGTCTTGGATATATTTAATTACAGGTATTTTTATTGCTAAAGAAAATACTTGACCTGGTGGTGTCACCAGTACTTTTTGCCATCTATGGAAAATTGCAGGTGAAGCAATATCATATCCATGAAGACGAAAGTTTTGGGCAGTCCACCTGTAGTGGACTGTTACAAATATCGAGATTTAAAGAATCAAACTTTATTTATAGTGCGCTTTACAACACTCAAGGTGATCAAAGTGCTTCACATTAAAAGAACAAAGTAGGCAGAGAACATTGGAAAATAAGTGATTAAAGATCGCTCAAACATCACTCCAGATACAACTACGAGAGGGTAAATAAGAAGGAGAAACAACTACAACATGGGTAAAAGCTCTGAAACTCATAATTGCTCTGCATTAAAACTAACTCACTAGAGTGAGTGTTGGGGGTGGACACAGTTAGCAATGGGTGATGTGTGCGGCTCTGTGGAGCTGGTGTCGCATTGATCCCTGTCACAGTCTGAACCAAACAGTTTAGACACAAACAGCCTTTTACACACTCCGTTGCATTTGCCCATTTCCACTGTAAATAAAGTCTGCCCCACTGTTCTGATTGTTCTCTCGGTGTGGGAAATAACTATTTTAACGTAACACTGCCTCATGCCAGTCAATTACGGTTACGAGTATCACTGAATTACAAGGGCAAGTTTTGTAGTGGGCCACTAAAATTGGGCACAAGCTGAAATAAAGCATAATTTTAGATATTTAATTGTTATATTTTAATATTGACTTGCTGCACAATCTTGGAAAAAATCTAATTCTGATTTTTCTGACATATTTCTGAAATATTGTAATTAGATGGCGCATTGTAAACAACTTCGGGAGCAACAACTTTGGAGAGAGGACTAAAAAATTGATTGACAACCTAATTCACTCAACGAGATAGGATATTTAGTTCTTTGCATATTACATTCTATTAAATAGCCTTTCCGATTTGATAATTGCACCAACTCAGTATAATATGAGCATATGTGTCTGGGCTCCACTTAATAACCTGCCTTGTTTGTGTGCTGCATGCTCTACCAACATTGCTGTACCATGATGCCAGCAGCTCCCATCAACTTATTAAGAAATAATTGGATTTCTTATTCAGCTTGCAACATCTTTCTTGCTTGTTAACATGAAACACTTTATTAAAATCAGTTTATCACTAAAATTCTACCTTCACTAGGTAATTGCTCCTGTTAACAATGAAGCTCTCTCCCAGTCCTCGCAGTTGTGTACATATTTCACAGCTGTAGTGCATTTCCTCTGGAGTGACACAAATATGGGACAGTGAGGGGATCTCTAATTGGACAGATGTAGACAAAGGGATGTCACCAGTCCTTTCTCTACACATGCTCATCATTAAAATAACTTGCTGCCTCATTATTCTTAGAGATTAGCTGCAGATGGTCTGTCAGTCATGCACCATCTTTGTTGAATATGTCAGTAATGTACAGAGAAAGAGGTATTCACTGATTAGTATGATGGATTCTCTCAATCTGCCTCACTGCAACAATAGTAATATGTTTTAATTTATTTTTGCTCCTTCACATACAGTGTTATTATGTCTAAAATTAAAGGGACTGTACTTGATTTCAAACCATGAATCAGAAACATGAAAATGATCTCTTGACTTGATTCTTGAACTTCTGACTTTGAGCTTCAAATGAACTGTTTGAAACTAATTGTGTGTATAGTGAGTGTGCTGGTGTTGTGTATATAGATGATTTTACATCAACCTGCCAAGGGACTGAAGATGGAAATTAGCCACGTTGGCTATAATCTTTACATATTTACATTTTTAATGTTCATTAATTATGTACTGTCCCTTTACAAATAAATAAAATAAGAAATAAGAAATCATTGACTCTCAAACTTCTTCCACCAAGTACCATCAAAGAAAATGTTTTGCTTTCCAAGTACCGCCAGATCTAAATCAAGTATATAACCGCACAAAACCAGGTTGAAAAATGGACTACATCATTTCGACTGTAGTTCTAAACAAAAAATTATGCAAAGGAAGACAAAAAATTGGCTAAAATGAACTCTAAATTAAACCCAGAGACTGAAGAGCTGTACTACTTGAAGGAGATGCCACAGTTTGAAAAACACTGGAAAGGATTTTATTTTACTGTCTATTTTTTTTTTTTTATTTCAATTTAGCAGCCTTAACTGTAGCCAGAATAAATTAAAATCAGTTGCAGGCCATTTAAGTAGACTAGAGAATCATTCTGAGGTAGGACAGGAACAGTTATACCTAAGACACCACTTGTTCTTATTAATTTATACCCTTTAAATATATACATTTTTTACTGTGTTTCAGCTGAAGTGATCCACAACCTCCCCATGGACTCCAGCTCGATGGCGATGCCCATGTCAGACCCCAGCGCTTGGGCCACAGCCATGAACAACCTGGGGATGTCTCCTCTGGGACTGAGCACACAGACACTAGTGCCAGGTATGGATCTTGTTCACTACTAATGGATAAGTAAAGGACAAAAAAAAACAAAAAACAAAAAACATAACACTATTTTTAGGGGAAGCTTGAGTTTGAGTCACATTGCATCGACCACTTTTAGACAAATTGTGGTAACGCATCAACACGATTATCTGCCTCACCAAATGTTTAACTGTCAGTGTATAACATAGTATGGCATACACTCTCTTTCCCTATCTTGCTACACTGAAACTGCGCTGTATTTCACCGTACTCAGCAAAATGCCTTCCCCCAAAACCTTCTCATAAATCTCTCCTCCATTTTTATGTATTTTTTCTATTTGAAGTATACCAGGCATCTGTCAGTGAGTTTATTTATACTGTGCAATGAAACAGTTTTCCACTTGAAGTACTACTCTAGTACTATACTTAATGCCATGACTGCATATTTTCCTTATCTGTTAGATTTCAGATATGAACAAATATCTCTATGCACCTAAAACATTGTGTCCAGGACACAATGCATTGCTCGGCAGTTGTGTGGTTTGAAATTATACGGCTGGGCAACTAATCAAATTTTTATAGAGATTCAGTCATTTCTAATGGTAGGTGATATGCTTGGAGCTTTTTAATCGAGAGGTCCACAGCCAGTTCTCTGTCAGTAAAAGTAAGTGGCTTGGAGCAGTTAAAAATTTGGAGGAATAAACTACTGGACTATTGTTTGTGTTCGATAGCACTGTAACTTAAATTTGTTTATGTTTATGGAAGTCAGTACTGAAAGCCATTTATATATTGTTTTTGAAAAGACAAAATGGAGCAGATTTATTATTATTTTTTATTTTTTTAATGCCATCTCACCCAACCCTGGATACAGCACACACTGGAAGATCAACACTTGCAACTTTCATCTTAGGCCAGACAAAGTGTCCAGACAAAGTGATCATTTTAAAGGACAATAAATATTTGTACTTGGAATTAATATATTTCTTTTTTGCTGAAGAATATAAAAGATACTAAAAACTTCAGACGTTCTTCCATTTATTAGCATTCGTGTATATTTCTCATCTATTCACGCTGAGGGTGTTATGTATTTCTATGCCAGAATGTTTCTGTCATTACCATGGTGATACAACACATACATTAGCAAACTCAGAAAATATATATATGTATAATACAAAATGGATTTAAACAACACATTGTCAGGTTTTAATACAAACATTTATGGTCTTGTTTAGGTGTTTGATTTTGACTTAATTTTTTTTTTGAGAGAGACAAGTTTGACAGCACAGATCATCTCACGCGTTGTAGTTCCAGCTAAATCTGTTCTTTATGGTCAGATTGGGTTAAAACAAAATTTAGATTAAAGTATAATTTGAGTAACAGCTTCAGACAGAGCAGTGTCTACAGTTTACTTCACATTCCCAGGAAATGTTGATGATATCGGCTGCAAAGTAGCCTATCAATTAAAGAGTAATAGTTGTATGTTATTCCTCACATAGAAACAACACATGTGAAAGTACGGTAATAAGTTTTACCAGTGTTTCTTCATGTGGTACAGACATGTGGAGCAGCTCGTAGCTCCATAGTCTTAAAAGTGGCACACATAAATGGGGCACTGCAGTAATGTTTTATGTGTGTGTGTGTGTGGGGCTACCCTGAGACCTGCTACATTTACAAGTTAGCCTCGGGCCACACAGAAAGGATACATGTTCTGCTGGAAAAAAGACTTTGATCAATGTGTTGAGTGGAAAGTGACCTCGGGTGATGGGATCCTGTGAGCCCTTTTTGTATAAAGAACGAGGAAACTTAAATGAGGTGAACCAGATTATTTTTTCATGTAATAAAGTAAAGTTTGTCTTGCCCCTGTACTGATATAATGTAAAAGCAAGTCCTATTGCTGTATACTGTCTGTATTTAATTATAAATTGTTTTATTGTCTGTGAACTGGTAGGTGCGCTGTTAGCATACTTGTTATAGTTAGCGTTATTGTGACTCCACTCTGGCCTCTGAATGTTGTTAAGAGTGCTCATAAACACTGTGAATAATTCAGATGATAGGAATACGTTTGATTAATTAATTAAAAACTTTAGACCACTGCTATTCATGTAAACTTACATAGTTCTGTTTTTTAAAGTAGTATAAATTGGGTACATCGCCTGGAAGTTTGGATACCTGAAAGTCTGGACACCTGTTAGACCATAGCAAAAGAAAATACTGAACGACTGAGGGATTATACAGACACCTGTTAGACCGATCACTCCTTACCTCCAGAAATCACCCCTCCTCACCCTACACTCTCCCCTTTAGTCCACTAAACACTTAGGCCTATTTATACAACACAGGGAAATACAATACACTCTGTTTCAATTGGTCTCCCACGATCATAATGACCAACAATGTAAACATGCGTTTTTGTTCAGCTAAGATCAGTGGCCTATTAATTGTGGTTAGTCTCCATACAGCAAATTTACTTAAACACACAAGAGTCAAAATGGTAATGTGAAATTCATTGCAGTAAGTCGACAATTACTGATCATTACAAAAACCAAACACGATGTAAATGTTTGAACTATTGGGCTACTCAGCATCTGGGTTTAGCACCTCAGATGTGTTCCCCCTTCATCAAGATTCTCCCAGACCATAACCAGAACCAGATGGAAAGCTTTTTGAATTAAACTTCCATGTTCGGACCTCCCAAATGGTTTGCATTAAATGGAATGATTTGAATCCCATGTACTGTGGAACGACATGCCCCATTTACCATTTTCCTTTATGTTCTGTTGGATTGTGTTTCACTTTCCCTATTATTTGACCCTGTTCGCTGAAAGATTTACAATGTGCAGCACTGTGGAGTCAATTATTTACACAATTCTTCCAGACTAGAATTATTCAAACACTCCATCCTCACTCTGTCATTATTATGCTGAGCCGAGCCACTCATTTAAATTGGAAAACAAACCAAAAAATATCACATTGCATGGAAGAGATCAACAGGAAATTAAAATAATAGTTTTGCTTGTGTTCAGTTTTTGTTTTTTTGGATGTGTTTTTTTCAGGGCAAACTTGTAGGCTGATAGTTTCCCCACATTTTGGAATAAATCCTTGTCCCTTGTTGCTGAGTGCTCTAGAGGTGCTCTGGAACAAAGCCAAGAGGTTTTTGGCAGTGTGTAGGTGGATAGGATTACATAGACAAATTTTCTCTATACTATTGGGAAATTGGACAGTTCCTTACAAAGCAATGCTTATTGCAGATTTATGGAGATGGATGCATTAATGTGCCAGGTAAAGATTTGTGTGTACTCTCATGCTTAAAGGTGCTGTACCAGTTTTTTTCTGTCTTAAAATGCTGAAAAACAAACTGTTTGTAGAGGCCCAAAGTTATTCCTCTCTACCTTATGCATTCCTAGCCTTATCATTATTCATCGTGAGTTTCTAAGCGCTTTTAGAGATCAGAGCTGATTCTTCCACGTACAACGCTTTATATTCAGATGCACAGAAGCAGCACACATTATCTCATTTATTCCATAAGAGCTGTTTCTACAATATATCTGTACAGGGGCAAAACAAATGTCGCTCCTCCAACAACACAAAAAATCTATGTAAAGCCACTATTTTATTTTGTGTGGCCATATTTTCTTACTAACCTCTTTTTTTTCCAGACTATGATCCAAATATGGGCATGATGACTGACTACACGTCTATGAATCCACTAATGCCCGGTTTGGGTCTAGTACCAGATGTACCTGTCGTCAAGGAGATCATCCACTGCAAGAGCTGCACCCTGTTCCCTCCCAACCCCAGTAAGTCGTGTAAATATGAGGTCTCTCAGAAAGGCCTGTGTATACACATGCTGAAAAGTGTGTCAGCTTAAGGCAGATGTGAGACGAAAGATTAGAGAAAACAAAGCTCATTGTCATTGTTTATTTTGGGAGCTAACAAACAACTGTGCTGCAGTTTCCAAGCACCACCCTATGGTTTTATACCTCAAACTCCTGTGTACTGCTATTTTGTCCTGATGTTTGACAGCAAAATTAAACTGCAAGACAAAACCTTTCTTGTAATTTCAAGAAAAGTTTCTTACATATTTTTTATGAAACTAACCAGTTTTGGGATGTGGAATCAAAACTGTATATAATTTTTATCCTCGCCTGACCATAGAGTATTTAAAGGAGTGGACTAAGAGAGTATGACGTCACCCATAATGTTCGGCTCCAGTCACATGAAGAGCACGATGCTATCCATTATAGGAGTGAATTTGGAACAGAGTTCCATATTGGGAATTGGAATTTATTTATAGACAAAATAGCCAAATATAAACAGCAAGATCATATACAGCGGTGTAGTATGAACATTTTAATACAAAAATTACAATGCCTACTACAACAGTTAGAAAGGGAGAGGTGACTTTTTTCAGTGTAAGTCAAGTCCCTGACCCATTCTCTTGGAAATGTTGAACGTGGTATTATTACAACTATGCCTACCACCATATATAACAACACAAATTCAGATAATTTGACCAAGTTGCAAATACATTATAATTATGTGACTAAATGTGTTGCTTTTAAGTACATCCCTTTTCTTTCAACTAAGGAGCTGACACTTTGGTTTGTTCTTGTGGGGTTATTTAGGTACGTCCATCAGCAGCAGACTCCAGGACAGAATCTTGGCTGTATTTGGCTGCGATTCCCCACAAGAGTTTCAACTCTGTCAGATCTCGCAAATCAGATTGAAATTGGTGTTTGGAGGAGCTGAGAAGGGGGTGCTGGTGTCACTATTGAGATGCCGAGGGCGAACAGCGAGGGGTTTTTGAGTGGGTGTTTTTATGCCTGGTACACACCGAGATAGGCAAAAGAAAGTTACTAGTCCTGCATCAAAACATAGTGGAATTTATGAAGAATAATGAATAAACGCAGCACTTAATACTTAAAATTGCATAGTTCGGGTACCAGTATCTTACAGGACAACAATCTGGGAAAAAACTGCGCAAACTGATTTTTAAAGTTTTAAAAAGTATTATTATTTTTTTAAACTAGCGGTTTGCGGTGGTCCAAAGCTTTTTCTCTCTTACCTTATACATTCACACATCCATATTCACTTTCATATTCATATACATGAATTCATTATACATTCATTATACATGTACAAGCATCATAATTTTTCACTGCAATGAGTTTAGAAACACTTTTCGCAAATCTAAAAGACTAGTGTAGAGTTTTACTTTAACGGTAAAGCTAACAACAACTAGCACTCCCTGATTATAAGACAAAAAAAAATGCTTTCTAATTAGATGCAGACACACAGCTTACATATTTTGACCTCAAGACCTCTTATATAATATATCTGGTACTGGGGCAAGGCAAAGTTTGATTTGAATTTCAAATACATGGACAGAATGTACACCTTTTTACTGATGAAATGGTGGCAATAGAAAGTCATGTCTCACTGTCTTTGTAGAGTAAAATGGTGGTTAAGTTGTGGCTGTTGCAATGACAGATTCCTTTGTGTGAAATATACGAGTCGCAAGTTCACAGTAGAATAGCAGCCTTTCTTAGCAGCCCTCAAACCATAATAGGTGATCATGCTGTGGAGGTGATGGATGATGAGGACGAGTGTCAGAGCAGCAGACCGTTGGGTGGTCACTCACAGGTCAAAGAGATCCATGGATTCCACACTGAGAAACAGCCTGTGCTCACGCCTTCAGCTGCATCAATATTTACTCAGGCCAAAGTAGATGTTTATAAACTATTTATCAGAGCAATGTACTGTTTTAATACTATGTGAGTGCAGTGTATCTTCTATAAGCTAAGTATGTTAGATCACATAACCTGTCACCTAACATATGCACTTAGAAAAAATAATTTTTCATCTAGAGTGTCTCATCAACATGTTCAAGATAATTTGAGTGTTTGAGCTTTTTGCGTATGTTTTAAATGTGCGCAATTTGATTTCTTTCTGATTGTTCACACCTTTGCAGGTTTTGAAATTATGCATAAAAGTGCATGTGGCAAAAACTAAAATGAGTGCTTTTTAATTAAGTGTGCTTTGTCTTCATAATACAACTGTTTCTCTAAAAATATGTTGATTGCCAGGTGTTTTATGATGATCATTTTTTTATTTAAACGCACACAAAGATTTTGATCTTATTATTGGTTCAGATTATCCTAGTTATCTGATTTTTATTGGCCATGTAAATGTACCCAGTGTCCCAACTTCTTCAAATGTGGTTCTTTTCAGAAGAAATCATATCAAACTCCTGCACTTTCTGCTTTAGTACACAGTACAAAATAAGCCTCCAGCTGAGAGACAAGCATCCGTATTTGGACTGTATTCTTTGTTTTTTTGGGTTTTTTTTTTCGTAACCAAGCATTGCACTGGAATAAAGGCATTATTTTTTTGTATCCTTGTGGTTTTGATTAAAACTGTGACCCATAGACCTGCTGAGTGGACATTGCTTACTCTTAGAAACCTGATGGCCAATGAATAAGGCAATTACACTTCTTTTATATGGAACTGTAAAGGGCAGGCTGGTCGAGCAGTCTAATGTCCTCAGCACAGAGCACGGAAGAGTTACTCCATCAGATAAAGTGCTACATTTTATCAAGTTTTGACATCAATTATAAATAATGACTTGAATTTGTAAATACGATTTCCCCCAGTTTAGAATCCACATTGCTCAGAATATAGCTTCAGAGCCACTTTTCTTCTGATAATCAATGCTCATATAATGTGAAATTATTACGGGACTCAAGTTTTGTTTCATGACTGTAACTTTTTATACAATTTTAGAATTTATTATACTTGAATAGAGCATCAACTCTCTATTTATTTATTTTGCAGATCTCCCCCCTCCGGCCACGAGGGACCGCCCCCCTGGGTGTAAGACGGTGTTTGTTGGTGGTTTACCAGAGAATTCAACAGAGCAGACCATTGAGGAGGTCTTTGGTCCATGTGGAGAGATCATCGCCATTCGCAAAAGCAAGAAAAACTTCTGCCACATTCGCTTTGCTGAGGAGTACACTGTGGACAAGGCTCTCTACTTGTCTGGTAGGCTACTTCACATCCTTGTCACATCCTCGGTTTCTTTAAAAAATTGATGTCAAAAGAAATAACATTTTTGCCGGAATGTCAACTCTCTAAAAGTGTTCCTAAAATCGTATTTAGTTTTTAGGGTTGCCTGCGTCTGGTCTCAACATTGCAATTTCACCTTCAAAAACACTCAAAGAAGCATTTGGGAAGCAGCTCTTCATTTGAAACCTTGACATAGTATTCAGAGTCTTGGCTGCTGGCACTACTGCTAGTTGTCACTGGACAAGTAGAATAACACTGGGCACTGTTCCAGTGTCCACATTCTACTCATTAAATTTTAAAATGGGCATCATTTCCTCGTAAAACCACAAGCAGTCATTAAACTACAGAGGGAGAAGAGGTTGGGGAGAGGAGGGAGTGAAGGGAGAAGAGAGAGGGGAAGGAGAGGGGGATGTTGAGTAGAGATGTGGGCTTTGAGTTTCTTTCTCCACAGTAGTTCAGTGTATAACAAATATTTGTTTATTTATTTAGCTCTGTTTTGATAATAGGGAAATAGTGTGTAATATAGTAATTTGTGGGAAAAGCTTTATTACTCTGTTGTACAGGGTCCAGCCTGAGTATGTAAGAAAACTAAGAATAGAGCATGCCTTGTCATTCTCCATTCCAATATGATCAAGCCACTGTGAGACTCAAGGCATAGGCACAGGTTTAGCTATAAATTACTCATGTTGCCACTGATTCAAATGTTTTAGAATCTTCCTAAAAGTAGTGTATTTATCAGTAGCTGTCAGTTTAAGATGACGGTCAGAAGTCAACTTGACAGTTGTTGACAGTTGGAATTGGAAGCACTGAAGCGTTTGAGCTGTGCAGTGATGTGTCATACAAACCATGAAACTAGCCTCAAGTGTACATTGTGGACTTAGGTCATCATTACCACTACTTCTAAATGTTTCTTGTTAACTTCATATCAGATCAAATAAGCCATAGTAATTGTTGTATAAATAGTACCCCATCTGCAAAGCTGAAGTATATTTTTAATCTCCACAGGTTACCGCATCCGCCTGGGTTCCAGCACAGACAAGAAGGACAGTGGGCGTCTCCACGTGGACTTTGCCCAGGCCAGAGACGACTTGTACGAGTGGGAATGTCACCAGCGCATGTTAGCCCGAGAGGAGAGGCACAGACGCAAGATGGAGGAGGATCGACTAAGACCGCCTTCTCCTCCTCCCATCGTCCACTACTCCGACCACGAGTGCAGCCTGCTGGGGGACAAGATCAAAGGTCTGTGACTGTTGATATAGGTGGAGAATATTGTTTAGTTTCAACCTTATTGCAGTGAATACACCTTGTTTGCATTGAATTTGCACTAGAAAAGAAGACTATGAACGAAATATAATGCTATTAAAGTACATTTTGATTTGTGTTCTTAAACAGGCTAAAACTAAGTATATGCTGCCCCCAGTGGCCACTACACCTCAACTCAGATTAGCGTCCATGAGAAACAACTGCCTGCAGGAGCGGAGTTTAAGTGCTTACACCTCTAAAACCATTCACACTGTTCCTTTTACCTCTAGACCCCTCCTCGTGTTCTCTTCTCCATCAGGATGTTGAGCTGCTTTATTTGAAATGTGTTTTTTGGTGGAGTTAAGGTCTTTAGTCCCATTTCATTTTTGAGACATTTATTTTAATGTAATGTTAATCTCTAATCTAATCTAAATATTATGTACTCTGTTCCATATCCCTACAAAGAGTATAGAGTACAAAGACTGCAAACCATTTTTATTTACAGAGAAAGATCGTTTTATAAGTGTTTTGCTTGTGCATTTAATGATTAAGTTTGTTCCAATATTATTGCAGTAAATTCACTCAAACTTCCCCTACTGCTACATCTTACTCTTGTGTTTCCTCTCCTGCATGTGTGTTCCAGATGATGTGAAGTTTGCCGAGGCTGTCCGGGTGCTCCTGACTTGGCTGGAGCGAGGTGAAGTTAATCGCAGAAACGCCAACAACTTCTACTCCATGATCCAATCCTCCAACAGCCACATCCGCAGACTGATGAGTGAGAAATCTCAGCACGAGAAGGAGATGGAGGAGGCCAAGGAAAAGTTCAAGAGCGCACTGGCCGGGATACTGGGCCAATGTGAGTAATTCTATGTGAGATTCTAGTCTCTCGAATTTTATATATTGTTTGCTAATTTTAGAAAATAAATAAAATTTGTTTTATTTTGGTGTCTGCTTATTAGAAATTAAAACAGAACCTGAATATTTATTATTTTTATGACATTGGCACTTTTCCAAAATGTAATTGTTGGAAGGTGTAAGTATTGGTTTTTGGGGAATTTACAATTTCAATCCAGCCAGTTCAGATGTAAGGTAAGTAAGGTAAGTAAATGCGCTTTAATATAAGTATTGGATTTTTTACATTAAAAGAAAAAAAATAGGACATAAATTATTGATAATATCGCATCAAATTGTACCGTATTCTTTGCTGCCCAAATGTTTCTTTTGGTAGCATTGTGTTGACTTAAATGCTATATCTGCAAAAAGAGTCGAAACCACATTGCCATTTTATTCCTGATAACCAAAGCCCTTTATAACCTGCTTTCAAATGAACTTTCATAAAATAACTCCCAAAATGTTTGGGTCTGCAGTATATCCTTACATTTGGCTTTTAGAATCTCTACTGTCTCTTGACTCTTATCGTCTCAGCCGTCATCATTGATCTGCTCTATCAAATTACAGTGTTCTGGGAAGACACTATTGATTCACTCATGTTCTCTCTTTCACCAAATGCACAGAATTACACACAGTCGGCATACACTTGGAGCTGGAGGTACTTACTGACTACGCCCAATGCATATCAAACTTGTGGTTTCTAAACTCCACCCACACAGTCACACACACACACACACGCAGATGTCCAACCAGCTGCTTACAGTTTACAACTGAATCTAGTGTTCCTTCTCCAAATTGTATCCTTCAGCATGGTTCTCAGTTCTTTTGTGCTAACTGCCATGCCAAAGTAGGTTTTGTAAACCTGAGTACAGATTCCTAGAACCTTCCTGAAGTTTGACAGGCTTTTTGTAAGTATAATTATCCTCTGCTTTACTGTTGGGAAATTTTGGGAATGTGTGAGCAGTTTTTCACAGGATGGTGCAGTGGTGATGGTAAGTGGTTCACACTCCAGCTCACAGACACACAGAACATAAGGGTGAGTTGTTGGCATCGTCAGTTGACTCCAGTCTCTCACACTCTGCTCCTTCCCACCTGCCTCTGTCTCCTGCCCCCCTGTGGATGCTCTCTGCCCCCTCCTGCACCTCCACAGTTGAACAGATTGTGTCTGTATTCCAAGCTGCTTCCAAACAAAAGGCATGGGACCATTTCACCAAAGCTCAGCGCAAGAACCTGGACGTTTGGCGCAAGCAAGCACAGGTTAGTACGGTTATTCAGTCAGCTATGCTTATATCTTATGACGATATATCGAGCCCACAGACATAGGGGAGGGGGGTGGCTTAGAAAACTCCATGATGCAGTAAGTACAGATTCTGCCTGCTCACCCAAGATGAACACATAGAAATAAACAATAAATAATAACAATAAAAATATCTACCACCTATTAACTTGAAGTGCTGACTTTCCATCCCAGTGACCAGATACAAGCTGTGTGGTGAGTTTGTCATTGTGAGACCAATGCACAGGTAAATCTAAACACCTAAAGACATTGAAATTTGTATTTCAACACAAGGTTTAAAGTGGAAATGTTGTTGGGTCAAATGGATCATAAATGATTTTGTTTTATTGGTAAGTTTTGAGGCTTTCAATGCTTAGAGATGTGGTATTTAATGACAAACAGGTAGGTGAAACTGACATTGCTCTGACGTCATGACAATGAAAAGCATGGAGCACATATTGTGCATAAGTCAATACCACTGCTGTGTCCCTATTTTTTATTTTATTTTTTTCTCGTCTCTGCTGTGTTGTGACACCAATGAAAAGGGGAAAAAAGTAAAATTTATGTCAAATTATGCATAACCATAACTGTGGCCTTTTGTAATGTGTTTCTGGTCACAAGATACTAATTGGTGTTAAAGAATTGTTAGGAAAATGTTGTGTGTTCAAAGTATAGATTTTATACTCGAGTAACTGAATGAAAACTGTGAAAGAGAATGTTCATTAAAAGTGACAACAACTCTACTTTCATTGTGCCTTACTACCTAACTATTAATCAGTTAACCATTATGATTAACAGCAAATTGATTAATAAGTAAAATTATGTTGATGTTTTTTTGTTTTTGTTTTTGTAGATGTGCTTGTGTTCATCTCACTTAGTCAAGTGTATGTTCATAAGCTGAGCTCAAGATATCACCTTTCAGTTTTTTCAGTATTTAACTTCCCTTTTCAGGAGATCAGAAACATGCACAATGAGCAGCTGATGGGCATCAGGCGAGAGGAGGAGATGGAGATGTCTGATGATGACATGGAAAATCCCTCCATCAACAAACATTCAGAGGACTCAGGTGTGCACTGTGCTTACTATTCAGCGTATACACTGGACTACATACGTACATAGATAAAGACACTACCATATTTCAAGGATTAACACAGGAAGTACACAACAGCTAATATTGACCACAATAACCTTATCTCTCATGAGAGAGAGTATTTTTCTGAATCTCAATTATTGCATGTTGTAAATAGCCTGCGGTAATTCCATATCACTTTTGATGAACCTTTTTTTACACAGCCATCCTTTGAATAACATGTTTTTGAAGGCCGTACAGCATAATGTCATCTCTCATTTAGTGTCGCTCCTATTTCTCACTCTCTTCAATCTATTATAAATCTCGCCCTGCTGTTTATTGTACTAAAAACACATATAAAACACATTTGTCCTTGACTGATATGTTTATTTTTTCATGGCTGATACCGATTATATATGTTTATGTTTATAATCCTCATCAGTCAATGGCCTATAAGCTCTGTAGATATTTGTGGGCCAATATGTAGGGATGATTTAGATCAAATTATGTAATTTAAATTTATTACACACTCACCCACAGAAATTTCTTTACCACAAACCTTTAAGAGAGCCTTGTCATCATGTGGTGTGCAGTTGTGTTCAAAACAGCTTTTTGTGATAGGCAACAAGTCAACCAAAGTTCCAAAGTATGGTTTTAACTTTCTATTTCCATGTAATTGTGCAGGTGACGTTCCAGAAAGTTACATACTGTACCTTTTAAAATGGCAGTGTCTTTAATCAACATGCAAATGTATGTAAATGAACTGTCGCCTTTCCTTGTAAAACTGCCATCCATATTTAGCATAGCTGTCACAGTATTTGCATTACAGTGGATGGCACAGGTCCACAAATTATGCCTACTAATGAGATGCTTTGCTTTATTCACTTTGTGTTAACAGACGATTGTCTCTTCTTTATTGTTCAGGAACATTTAGTTTCAGTGGAATTTCTACAAGGCTGCAGAGTTTACTGGAAACACCTGTAATGACTGTGGCCTTTAGAAAGTGAATCAATATTTCACAGGCAGACAGAAGCTGCACCCCTCTACAGTTGCACTTGGTCGATAATATGCTGGTCATTATGAAACAAAAAGACTCTAGTAGTTGAAACAGTTTTTCACACCTGTCTGATTAGGCATTTGGATCAATATTCACCTCAAACTTTAAACTTAACGAGGTAACAAACAAGTCAATGGCTTGCATTGACTCAAGATGCATTAACACTGAAATGGTGTTTGGTGATAGACCACAAGACTGTACTTGAGATTTCACAGGATAGAGCTGATCACTTTTTTTCCACTCAACATTTTCCAAAAAGTAGACACCTGAGGTTAACTTTCATTTTTATCTTTCATCAGGATTGAGAAATGGCATTCATCAAGCAGATAGGTGGCTTTGAAATATAGAAAGCCAAAAGCTTTTCTGGATGCTCTGTATTCCCAACAATTTATCCCTAAATTTAAATTATAATATAGGTCGGAAATGATGAGCAATATTAAAGTTGAGTTTTTTTTATTTTGTGTTATATGCTCTAAAATTTTTGAAGCGTCTAACAATAATTTATAAACAATTGAATACTTTTATTTTAACTCTTTCTGCTTTTCTGCTGCAGTTGTATCCCAAGCCGAAGCCTTGAAGGAGGAGAATGACTCTTTGCGCTGTCAGCTGGACGCCTACAGGAACGAGGTGGAGCTCCTCAAACAAGAACAGAACAAGAACCAGCCCCACAGAAGTGAAGAAGAGAATACGCACTCACAGCAACTCAGCTTCCTCCAGCAAGCTCTGCAGGGCATGCAGACGGTACATACACATATGCACACACACTACACATACACACTACACAATACACCTGATATTAGCTCTGCTGGACATGCAGAGGGTAGACACACACACGCACCCCTATACACAGATGATACACACAAGATATTAGCTCTGCTGGACATGCAGAGTGTACACACGCACGCACACACACACACACACACAGAGACATATACACAGATGATACACACATGTCACAAGCTCATGATTCAGGGCAGATAGTACAGAATTAAAAATGCATGAATAAAAAAAAAATTAATATATATTAATATATGTGCGTAGTATATTATATATTGATATATGTCCCTCCACCATGATACATTTTGACTAATTATTGGTGACACATTTTTGTTATTGTTGCAGCAACTCATAAAAATGCAAGAAGAGTTGAAACAGAGGGAGTCAGATCTGGAGAAGAGTTTGGATGACAAACAGCAGTTGAAGAAAGAAGTACAGACTCTGAAGGAAGGTCTGCAAAATCTGCAGAGTCTACAACACACAGAGGCAATCCAGGTTGGTTTTATGGCATACAAACATTAAATAAAAAGCTACATCTTTACCATTGAAAATGCCTGAAACTAGAGAGGTGCTGTTTCTAACTTTTATCATTTTCTACATGGCTTGTTCGGGGTGTTTTTCTCAGGACAAAAAATAAAGAATTTAAACATAATTGAATTGAAATATAATGATGAAAAGGAAAAAACTGTCAAATTAAATGTTTTTCTAACATGTAAATGATGTTGTGCTCTAAGCCAAGGACAGTGCAGACCACATTTATTATGTCTGAATCGACCCAGAGAGGAGGAGGCTGAGATCAGCATGCATGCAGAAAAATATGAGCTGCGTATGGGAGCTATTACATGCACAAGTCTAGCTTTTAATGCAAACCAGTGGCTCTCCAGGGCTGTGAACATCTCCACTGTCAGACTACCTCCACCATGACTTCGTGTTATTCTGATATCTCATAGTATCAACTAATCCCTTTTTAAACACCAAATGTGGACATCAGACTTCATAATAGGAGTTGGTATAAAGACAATTTTAGATATAGTCTTGTCATGTTTTTATTACAGGTGTACAATACAGTTTAATGCTAGCTTATACAGGTATGAATAGGTAATCTACTAACATTTACACTAAAAATACTGCTGGTTCGTATGATTTTGAAAGGCATGCCACAGCAGTTTCTCTTATCTAGATGTATTGGCTCATTGAGTTTACAGATAGGACTCACATGAATCCTAGAAGGAAATCTCATTACGTTTTCAAAAAGAAATCAATTTTCAGTGTTTCAGTGTTCAGTGTATTGAAGCCGTATGTCATCGATTGTTATTGATTTGGCACGTGCTGTCATCAAGCTCCCTCACACTTTACAGAGACATATTTTTATATCTAGAATATAGAAATTGCATATTATATATAAATGCAACTTAAATGGGTCTGGATTTATATGCCTATATTTCTTGCATAATCATAAGATATGATCAAAGCTTGCATCTTGCATATTTGCAGCATATGATCAAATGCTTTCAAGGTTTGCTGACAGATCAACAATTTGTAAAGGGTGTATAAAATACATTGGTAACACCTGATTTATATAAATAATTACAATAATAATTACAATAATAATTTGACTGATTGATAATTCCTCATTTTATTTCTTTAAATCCAACCAAATGTGAACGTTTCTTCTAATAAGACAAATAATGTAAAAAAAAATTATAATAATAATAACATTGCTTATTTACATGACATACTTTCACAAAACATGTCAGGTAAATAAACGTTAGAGCTTATTAGTTAAATTTTTTTTTATTAATGCTCTATACATATGTTCCTAAAATAAACTTGAATGTGTTTGCATGCACCATACTGAGAGTGTCTGTGTAAATGAGCAGTTAGCTGGTTTCACAGTGTCTTTTCCTCATATGTTTCTAATGTACCACAGCTGGAGACGTCGCAGGAAGACGACAGAGGCACAGAGGAGGGCGCTGATCAAACCACTGTAAGTTCTGTCTCCTCTCACTTTGCTGTATCACCTTAAATAACAGAGACACTACTGCCTCATGCCCACACCCTCTTCTGTTTTTACCGCACACCCTTTCTTGTTTAACATTTGTGTGTTACTTTGTTATCACAGCTGTAGCTGCTGGCCTCGTATATTCCACACCTCATTACCTTCTGTCTATTGTTGCCACTGCATAATCGTCCTGAGGTCTTAATTCCACTGTGTTAAATTGAGTGTTCTATTTTTTATTTATTTATTGTGCCTCACCTTAAATTCAAGCTTGTTTCCAACAGACCTGTGGCTATAAAAGCAGATGTATTTAAAGTGGTGTTGTCTCTGTGTTGTAGGAAGTGTCTGTAGCATCCACAGTGGGGTCGTGCAGTCAGGAGAAAGATGCTCCAACAGAGAGGAGTCCACAGAGCCCTGTCCAGTCAGAGAGAGAGGCTCTGCTAGTCGGTGAGATCACTACACATGACCACAACCATAACTGAAGAACAAATATCTGATTTGAAACTGCATTCATTTGAATTTAATTTAGTTTTTAAATTATATTTAGTCAAGTCATATGATCAGCTTTGGGACTCTGGTAGTGCAAAGTGGATTTTATATTTAGACTCCATTCAGTTTTTATTCTTCAAAAAATATCAACTTTACTTGGTCATTATGATCATTTTTGTTTCTAATTTTAGTCATCAAAAATATGACAATGATGAGAACTTTGACAAAATATTTTAGTTGAAGAAATGAACACTGGCTTGAATAAATACAGCTTCACAGAATTGTGAAGCTACTTTGGATACCTTGAAAAGTGCTATAAGACAAAAAGGAAATAATTATGCTTCTGCGCTTATACAGTAATATATCTTATTTGATCATCCTTTAATTGGATATAAAACTAGCTTGTCACATTTTCTGCCTAAAATGTAATTGGTCCCTATTCTGACTGTAACATGTTGGCGTCGGTACAAAAAGCGAGAGGGAGTATTTGTTCTATAAGCATCTGTCACTCTGAAAAATACAGTAAGAGTAAACACAGACTGTAGAACTGCTAGAGTGGGCGTATTTATTCTAAATCGGCATCTAAAGTGAGTGTAACACCTCCAGGCTTGTATGCTGTGTGACCTTTTCTGTTTTTTAAATGTGTGTATTTGTGTATTGACAATTTATGTTTATGGATAGCATCGTCATTTCATTTCATTTTATCTTTTTTTTCCACACAGGAATCATCTCCACATTTCTACACGTTCACCCATTCGGAGCCAGCCTCGAGTACATCTGCTCCTACCTGCAGCGTCTGGACTCCAAGGTAACAGGCTTAAAAGAATGAGAGCTCCCACTGCTGATCTGTCCTTTATTATCACACTAGACCATGCACATTTACTGCTTACTTGATTTAGGGATGTCTTAAAAGGTCTTGCACAAGAGCTCTTATAATACATCTGCTTTTACTGTCAACTATGCATATTGAACGGGACATATTATGTAAAATTTTAATGAGCTTCTAACCAAGTTATAACCAAGTTCCTTCATCTCTATCTTATTCAAACTTGTCTTTCAATTGGTCTGTGCAGGTTTGAGTAATTCTACACTGTCCTGCTTTGAGTCTATTCGATTCTGTTTCTGTTCTGTATCTATACCCATAGTTATGTCCTTATTAAAAAGAAAATCAGACTCTGGGTCATACATTAAAAATATAACAGCTATTTTTCAACAATTAAAACAATCAAATGAAAATCCACTGCTCGCCATGGTGCAACGTCACTATAAGACGAGGGCCTATTAGTTCTGCAGTTTCTATCTTGAAGCTCATTGAGATCATGAAAACAATGTGAAAAAATAATGATCTTCACATTTTATAGCTCAAAGAAGACAGTCTTATGGAGGTATTTAGAAATAAAGAGAAGCAACTTTTTCCAGTTTTATGCCTTGACATTTTTACGCCTCATTTTTCTGTTTTGAACTCAAATCTCTGTCTGGCTTTGTTTCATGTGTGATTTCCCCTGACAATAAAACGTATTGAAAAGTAGATCCCTCTGTCTAACTCCCAAACCTCTATATATGAATCTTCAGACACTTGTAGTTTCCACGCTGTCTCATCAAGTGCAGACATGTATCGCCCTGTTCCTCAGGAAGCATTTTATACACATATTATGGCAACTCCCTGTTAGAGACACAAGAAGCTTTCAAACTACCTTTCAAAATGTCTCTTGAAACTGGTAACAGGGACAGTAATAGCCAATTGTGAATTTTTGTCTGCAGGGTCTTTGAAAACCAGTTGAGAACTCAGAAAATATACATATACAATATACAAAACATACAGATAAAAGTTCAAGTTATACGTTATTGCATTTACTACTTTCTGACTTTTACATAGATGTAGGATTGGTCAATATGCCAAAAAATAATTCTGAGAGCCACATCATGATTCCAATTTTATTCATGTTTTCTTAGCTTTGGATAGTAGCAGTTGTTGTTGTTGTTTTGTTTTTTTTTTAGATAGTCAAAGGTAGTGAGATCACGATTCGATTTTTATTATCATATTGAACAGTGTACATAGATGGTTATGTGTCATTATGTGTGATCAATTACACATAGATGTCTTACTTGCTTACCACCTCCATATGAGAGTTGAATGGCTGAACGTCATTAAAGAACACATATTGTGCTTTAGCCTCTTGTATAGGTAGTTATAATCTATGACACCTGTGAATCATTATCATAATTTACACATTATAAATCAGAATATTAATCTAAAATACAAACATCATTGTTTGAAGTTGTCGATACCTCCTGTGGATAGCTGCAGATCACTAGCGAGCAGCAGAGTATTTGCTCATTTATGCCAAAATGACTGCACAACACTGCTAAATCCTACGTGTATCACTGATAAAGACAATAAAATTGGAGAACAAAGTAAGGACAGAACAGTGGGCATATGCTGGTGGCAGTAAAACAAGGGTTGATTGGCAATATGGCATCTTGAAAATAAGTGATTAAAGATGCTCAAACACACACGAATCACTCCAAATACAACTTCAAGAGTGGAAGAGGAAACAACTATAATATTCTATGGTTAAAACCTCTATGCTGTAAATAGTACTATATAAAATGCATCCAGCACAGTTGTAAATAAATCAGATATTTATTACTATGTGTGTACACATTTTGTTACATCTCACAGTGGCTTTTGTTTGTGTGTTGACAGATTACTACTAGTGAAGTGGAAGCGCTCCTCTCTCGGCTGCCCTGCACTTTCAGACAAGAGCTGACAGGAGTAGGAGCCAGTTTAGAGAAACGCTGGAACTTTTGTGGATTTCAGGGCATCAAGAGCATATAGACTTACCTGCTCCTAACGCGCCTGGGATATTCAGATGACACACTGGACATTATACAAGTGTGGAAGACTATATACCAAACATGAACCCTAAAAACGTCAGATAAAGGGGTATAGAGACTGAAAACATGCTGCATATTCATTGTTGAAGTGATTTCTAGTAGTTCACTTTGAAGATCTTTGTATTTTTACACTCAAGCCCCAGTATCCATAGTGACGGGATCACAATGTAGTTGCAAGTGCCCAAAGTGAAAAGGATGTTTTTTTTTCTCTTTGATGCCAGTATCGGGCAGAACTTCAGGGCCTTTATGGGGTTATCAGGATCTTTCTGAACTTTTGAAACCTCTGAACTCAGTATCTTCCTTCTTTTAATGTTTTAAGTGTTTCCTGTTTGCTAAAAATATATAGCAAATGGATCCACTTCCATTTCTGTAAAGACTTTGTTACATTATTAATCGCTTGATATATTTGCTTATAAAAATGTATTTTAAGTTTGTATGTTGGTTTAACTATTTATTTAGCAAACCTCTATGGATGTAATGGATGTTCATTCCAGTGTACAGATTTCTTTCAGCCTGCTAGTCCACTCTATTAGTTCTAATGGATGAGACCAACACAGCACTCTACTCACATGAGGGGAAAAACCTTGCTTAAAGGCAAATCTTTTTTCTTCTTCTTTCATTTTACAGCCTGGATTATAAAAGCTTACGTAACGTGTGCCTTTCAAAAAGGGCTTGACTAAAATCAACTAAATCTCTCTTGTGAATATAATCACACTTGTCCTTTATTTATAATATTCTGAAGGGGTTTTAGCCATGTTTTATTTGTTAAATAAATTTAATAGACTGCACTCTATATAGGTCTTTCACTGACTAATATGGTAGCATTCATGTTACCCTTTGCTCTGATAAAGCAAGTTTATTTTTTACACGTCTATAGGGCTGCATTGATTATTTGGAACAATTTTGACTAATCAGCTATTAAAACAATTGTCAACTATTTAAATAATTGTTCATTGTTATCTGGACTGAACAGACACCTGGCAAAAGATGTTCAATAACACAGGTAATGTAATTTAATCAAAATGAGAAAAAGAGTAAACATTAAATATACTTCAGTCATTGATATGTGTCATCCAGAAGCCTTCCGTCCGCATAAATTTACTTGTGTCAGGTTTAAATTGTATTTCTTAAAATGCCTATGACTACTCATTTTATTAATACACAGTTCAAATATTTATGATTACAATTTTAATAAAAGTTTTACCATTTCATTTTCACCATTGCCATAGATTTAAAATTGTACTTCCTGGTTGGAAATCATGACATCGCACTAGAATATTCCATAACTGTGACCTAGCATCCTTGTTGTACATTGGGCCAAAACTCCTTGGATGTACACAGAAATTATTATTTGGCATATAAAATGATAAGAAAACACATTTATTTTGTTGAAATAATGTTTAAAAAAAAAAGTTTTTTACTTATATGTAAATTGTGCCACACCTTTTCTCCTTTGTGTGATGTCATCAAAATAGAGTTCTCAAAAATTACAGGAAGTAGAGAGTTCTATTTTAAACATATTTTTCAACTTTTCTCCAACTGCTTCTTGATCGGTTTAACTTATCACTTATATTTACAGCAGTCAACAGGTATTATACCACCAAATTTGGTCAAAATTAAGGAACTGTCAAAACTGTCAATGCACTTAAATCTCAGTAAGCAAGAGCAGTATTCACTTAGTCGACTAATTGAAAAGATACTTGGAGATTTATGTGGTAAAAGTACTATTTTATTTTATTGTCAGAAATTGAATTTTTTGTTTTTATGGATAAAGATGTTGTGTTTCCATATAGAGAACACAAGCTTCTGTATGTGTATTTGTTTGCAGCTAAACAATGCCCATTTTTGCAGTCATACTGATGTTACACAGCCTCCTTTTCAGCTTTCATCCACTTGATGGTGTACTTGGGGTATTGGGACAAGCTGTCAATATTAAGTCTCTGCTTCAATACACATCCTTCTTGCTCTGTGTGGGAGTCAGCAGAGCATCCCTGATGACTAACTCAAGTGCACACCACCAGCTGCTTTTCTTTCCACCACATTAGCTTACACTGCTACACTCCCTCTGACAGAGACAAAAGACTAATAGACATTGTTTTCTTTCAGAAGCTGCACACTCTGCATAAACCGGGTGTACAATTTGTATCTTCTCTGCAGCCAGTTATGTGAGCTTGTAGAGGCGTGCTGGTTCTACACAGGTTCTGTTGCAGCACTGAAGGAGGTAAACACAAACTAATTAAATCCACCATTGGTCCCCAGTGAACACCGCTCTCCAACTCACCGCTGTCTGCTCATCGCTGTCACAGTCAGAGGTCTGCTCATTAATTCAGTTCAAGGTGGATGCGAGGCTAATACCATACTGGATTGTGACACTGGCTTAGAAGGATGTACTGCCAATGTATTCACCACTGGGGATACTTAAAAATGTCCTAGGGTGCCTGTTTTGACGTTGAGCCTTAAAGGTTCACTGTGTAACTTTTTTGGTGGAGAGTCTGCCACCTGCTCGTTTCTATGGTGATTTTGGAGAGTTAATAATGTTACTGCTTTGATTGCAATGTTCAAAAGTATGGTTTTAAACTTCTCTAACTTGAGGGAATCAAGCAGGTGATGCCACTCTGTTACAGGTCAGGTCAAATGTTTTTCAAGGTGCTTTCGAGGTACACCTGTTATTTAATAAATGCATGATAGAAAGGTCTAATGCCATACTGAGGAACATTCCAGGCAAAGCTACTCTCCAAAAACCCTCTCTGCAAAGTATTGTTATTCTGGACTGGTGAATTACTGCTTGTATGTCTTAATCCATGTATATGCAGTCACATCATGCCTAAGGTGAGTATAATTGAACACAGGGAGATAACTAGGTACTTTTAGATGATCTCGTGATACTTGAGCTAACCTTAATTGCCTTTGCCTCACAAATTGCTCCCAGAAGGTATTAGTATCTTCCTAATTATGATAACAGCTTCACTGGAGCAGGTAGGTAAGAGACCGCTGGTTTGTGCAACTGATTTCCTAAATAAAAGAGCAGTCACTGGTGAATGGGGATTGGAGCTGCATCTGTGCGTTGATAATCAAACCTCACACTTGATGAATTCCGGTGTTTGGCTATCAACAGGTAAAGCACATAAAAAAGTAGAGAACATTGTCAAAATAAGATCATGCATTGTCTGCTTGTCGAGTTTGACCAAGGCCAACAGCGCCCCCTTCTGAGCACAACTTGAGCTGCACCTTACAGGCTTCCATGGTCGCAGTTACAGCCAACTGACGTAATTGTTAATATGATAAAGCAATTTAATACCATAGTTCCTGTCACCATAAACTTGTTCATCAGAGTTATTGCGAGCATATATCGACATCTAGAGGCAACCATACAAACTAGATTACTGATCACTGGAAGAAAATTGGATGTGCAATTCACATTTTATTTATTTCATTTCTTTACTTTAATATGTGAGAAGAATGGCCAACAGTGGTATAAAATTGCTTTTCTATCAGGGTCTCTAAAGTGTCTGAGCATATAATATTAAATACGTCCACAGCACACAATAATTCCCAGTGTTTCATAACAATCGTTTTCTCTTTATCTCTTTCTCTTAGAAGCACAGTGGATATACTCATGAGATTAATTTTCAAACCACTGGTCCTGAGCAATGGTATTGATTAATAATTCCAGCACATTGCAGCTCTTGCTAGGTTAGATAGATAATAGGTAGATAGGTTAGCCTAATGAGAAAAGGTCACTGCCCGAAGTTAATCTAGTGACCTTTAAGAATTACCTTGCAGATTTGCACCAGTAGCCATTAACTGCACAGTAGAAATCTGAATTAATTTTAATGAGTTCTGCTAATATATTTTTGACATGCATAAGGCAAAAATCAACCTTTTTGAGTTTTCCATGACCCCCTCTTTCTTTGCAAACCTACATTCAAAATACTCGTTGACGTTTTCTGAGTTTTGTGCAAGATAGCATCACACTTCATAGATTCAACACTTCTTGTTTACAGAAACAAACAATGCACTACAAAATTAGAAATCCAGTAAGGAAACCACTATTTTCCCATCGATACTTTATGGGCCTAGTGCTATAATAAACTGTATCTTAATTATTTTGATTACAGTGAGCTTTATCGCCTACCTGACCTGTTTCTACCGCATTTCCTGCCAATGCACCATCTATGTTTTTATTGCTCTACTTTTAATCTTTTTTTTTTCAGCAATAGTTGACTATGACTACCTGACTTCTTAATAATGGGACATGCATAAAATATAGTAATGGTCATGTATGTAGGTGTAGGTGAAGTTATGGAAAGCATATTAAATGAAGCAGAGTAGCAGAGTAGCCTAACATTCTATTGAGGTTCTGGGCCTGTTGATGGTAAAGAAATCACAGATCCATTGAGTTTGAATGGATTTTTATAATTTTTTTCTGTGGAATGACTCTACTGTTTGGAGAAAAGAATGGCATATTGGCTGATGTCAAAACTTGGGGGAATAGTTGATTGTCAATGAGGTAAAGATGAAAATATTGAAAAAAAAAAGCCTTATGTTTTTGCATTAAATTGAGCCAAAATCATGTAGAAATGTGTTTTAAGAATTATTTTTTTTTACTGAATGTTGTCAATACATGTGTTCTTTGCATCTGGAATGCATTTATAGACAGCCTAGACAGCCTATGTGTCTGGATGGGTTTCCTCCGGGCGCTCCGGTTTCCCCCATCAACCCATAAACATGCTACATAGGTCTCCATAAACAGTTAATAGTCATGGTCAGTTAAATACAATCAATTCAATCATTGTGTCCTCAGGCAAGACACTTCACCCACATTGCCTATTTTGAAAGTGGTGTGTGTGTGTGTGAGTGATGGTGGTGATTGGAGGGACCGATGGCGCCGAGTGGCATGGCAGCTGCGCCTCTGTCAGTGTGCCCCAGGGCAGCTGTGGCTACAATAGTAGCTTACCATCACCAGGGTATGAATGAATAATGCTGAAAAATTCTGTGTAAAGCATCTTTGGGGACAGAAAATGTCTGTCAAAGCGCTATATAAATAAAGACTTACTTACAAAATGAAGTTACCTACACTTAAATGGCAATTTTTTTTCCCGCAATATTTCCAGAAGAGCAAACCCTCCCATTATTTATTAATAATAATTTATATTAAATTAATATTAAATAATAATTAATAATTAATTAATTATTATAATTATCCTTAGGGTTACAGTTAACAAAAAAAAAAACACACAAAAAGTATGGCAGACGATGTCAGGTTCCACCCATTTTTGAGACTTTGGTTCCCCGACTAAAAGTCGATATGTTCAGAAGACTAATTCAAGACAACACTTAGTCCAAGCAAAAGGTGATATTAGCTGAAGGAACAGTATTATTATGTTATTATATAATTATGTAGCATTTACATAATTGACCTTGCCTTTTCTTTTATTTTAAGGGGAGATACTACAGGTAAACAGAATTTGTCGATATCTAATTCCATACCTACTTTATTAAAGTTATCAGCAAAAACAGAAATATTTACATAAATTTTTATTCAAGTTTACTTGAATTCAAGTTTACTTGAATAAAAAGCATGAAAATCAAACTTGGCACTATCTTTCCAGATCTATGTCCCAAATGTGGTCCTTTTCACACATAAAATAATTTTTATTTATAATACACTTGTTTTCTGTGAAACTAATCAGTTACATGTTAACAACACATTATGTTCTTTATATGTTGTACAACCAGGGGAGTTAACAAAGTGGTCTATTGTCCTAGGCCTCAAGGTCTTAGGGGCCCAGAAACCTTTCTCCTATGTATTTATATCACGGGGGGGCATGTGAGGTTTCGTGCCCCAGGGCCCCAAATTTCCGTAGCCTGTTCTAGCAGCAACCAAATGTTGATATGGACAGTGTTTGGAAATAAATACATGTGTTGAAAATACATGTTCTGACTACTAATTTTGAGTAATTGTATTCCAGTAGAGTTCCTTTCTCTTTTGGTGGTATTCAGAATATACTACTTTCCTAAAAATCAAAAGAATACATTACAGTAGTTGATCAAACTTCACCAAACTCCACATAATTAGTGAGAAAAATAGACAACTCTCCTGTTGTAGTGATTTTTTTTTTTTTCCATCTCCAATTATTATTACTTCCATAATAAATTCTGTGAAATAAATGTTTATGATTGTTCACATTATTATTATTATTATTATTTTTTTTTTTTACAGGGAATTAACATTATAATGGCATGTTTATTCGTAGTGATAAAAGTGATAGTAAATGAATCCTGGGAGCTTAGTGTAAACCCAGGAGCAGACTGACTTATCCGCAGGCTGTCACGGGAAACGCAGTGTGCTTCTTTTGCTCCAAACGCCTCACATCACCAGTGTTTTTCCTTTATGGGCGTTCTTATCTCTCGTCACATCATTGGTGGGAGGGCAGCACTTCGCCGGGCCAATGGAGGCTTGCTGCCAGCTTCCCCACGTGTTTATGCCCCTCCCTCGTGAGCAGCGTTTACTTCCGTCTAACCGTGATGGTTGCCACGGTGACGGCGGATCCCGGTCGGCGGTTGGTGGAGCTGGTGTGACGTCAGCACGGTGTCGGGAATTCCTGTCCCCGGAGCCGAGGAGCCGCGCCACGAGCCGCGCTCATTCGCTGTCGGGAGGAGCGGCACGCACATCATCCACGTGAGGAGGCAGATTGTCCATGGCTCGTGTTTTTGTTCCTGATCGTCTCTGCTGAAGATGTGCACTTCCTCTCTAAACGTACGGCTCTGGGTCTGAAGCCGAAAGCCACTGAAATGTCTCATGTTTATCGTCTTCTTTATGTGCTGTTCATCAACAGAAGCTCTGTTGCTAAGGTGACCCGGACAAGGCCGACTGAATGTAAGTGAATGTTATGAAACATTTACTCTGCTATTGTGAGGAGTTATGGCTAACGTTAGTAAATAATATTATCGGTCAAACGGAGTTGTTTACGAGGCGTGGGGACCTTATCTGTGCTGTTACTATGAAACACCATTAAACACTAGTTATAGCTTAGATTCCCTAACGTTATTCTCCTGTAAATAGGCCCATGCCATATCATTTTGTTTTTCGGTCAGTTCACTTTACTGTTTAAAACTACATAGTCTTTGGTTTACCTCTACTTATCTGTTTGGGCACCATTACCTATAGTATTATTTGACATTCACTTGTGTTTGCTTACTTCTTCCTCTGTAAACATCTCTGCATCTTTTATAACCAGTTCTTGTTCCAACCAAAAACGTGTGTGCTTAATTTCACATCTTGTTATTCTGTAATAAACTTAAAAGACCTTTTTATATTTTATCCAGCCTCTCCCTTTTAGTCACTAGTTACAGCTATTACAGGGTTGTCCAAACTTTTTTGTCATCAGGGGCCACATTGCAAAACACAGATGAAGCGTTGAGACAATCCTGGGCTGGTGGTCAACACTAAACAATTCAAATGTGTATTTAGTACAGGTTAGACTGCACCTGGACGCCTGACTGCCAAGACACAAATATTTGAGGGTCGCATTTGGCTCTCTTACGATAGTTGGCATACGTCTGAGCTAGTGTTACCTTGTCACAAATACCACACAGTCTTTGGTGAAATGCATCTCAGAAACCCTTGCAGTCGTATGACAAACTTCGGATGATAGTTTTCCTGAAGGTTGCAAAAGTGAACACAGACTGCACATCAGGGAGTTTCTCATCCTCACACTTTGCTTTGCATCACACTTTTGCACAGTGTTCATTGGTCTGATGTAACATTTCATGAGCTCTGTTATCGGAGTCTGCCTCCTGGGTCTTTGCTATGGCTTCTCACTGAGTGACCACATTCAGGGACAGTTACTTTGCTGATCTTGGAGTTCACGCCATACAAGGATCAGTGCTGTGAGTGGACGTACAGGCTCAGATGTCTGAGCTGTTGTTGCAGCTTGGCAGGATGCCTTTAAATATATAAATAGATAAGCAGTGTAGCAGAACACGAGGGCATCACTGAAAAGGTGAGCTCAGGTCTGAGCTTGAAAAGGTGAAGCAGCAAAATTACACACTGTACCTCATAAGTTATGTGAAAATGTGAAGATAGCATCAAAGATTGATTCCCCAGTAGGAATCAATCTGACTTATACTGAAAAAGATGATGAATGTATTTATATATCACTTTCTTCTTAATGCTGTGCAAATTTTTATTTAATTTTTATTTAACAGCCAAATACACTTACAAAATACATATGCTATAAAGGCTGCGGATGCAACAGTAAAATAATTTTTTTATATATATATTTTTAATTTGCAGAGGGTCTGCCATGTTTCCTGATGCTTTGGAAGCTGCAGGGCAGGCGGAGGGCCTGGCCCTGTCCTCTCTGCACCCTCCGCTGGAGTCTGAGGAGGAGGACATTGAGACATCAGCCGAGAGAGGACCAAAGAGGAGAGGGCGCTACCGACATAGCCTACAGCTTCTGAAGCCTTTCAGGATAACACACAAGTAAAGACCTATGTGTATTTTCTTTATTTCAGGTACTTTTATTTTATTTGGCGTTCTGTAACAAACATTTCTCCAGCAAGAAATTGAGTGAATGTTTAGCTTTCTATTTTCTCAGCCCAACAACACCAATAGCTTTCTAATACATGACTGTAGAGAAAAGGTCCACAGACCTGCTTCTTCTTCTCTTTTGACACTGCGGTCTAAGATTTGATAGACTGCCGCGGGGCCTTTTTCTCACAGCTCTTTCATATTTTGTGAAGGCCATGCAAATGTTTGTTCAAACATTGCACGAAAGATCAAACCTACAAGACAAACAGCTGCTCTAGTGTCAACTGCCCATTTAGACCCTCCCTCAATATGACACCTGTGTGCGCCTCTCACCTATTTTCATGCCTTGCTCTATTCTAGGCACCAGCACCCAGTCGACAATGCTGGCCTCTTCTCCTTCATGACTCTGCATTGGGTGTCCCCCCTGGTCCTGAAGGCCTACAGGACGTCCAGCCTGTCTGTGGATGACGTGTGGGGTCTGTCTTGCCACGAAGCCTCTGAAATAAACAGTCAAAGGTGAGCTAATACTGTGGCACGCCTGAGGTTTACCAGATCAAATGGACTGTTCTGGTAAGATGGAGCCACGCAGTTTTCCCAGGAAACACACGTCTAGCCGAGACATGAGATGAAACTTGGTTAATTTGGAGCAAAGGTGTGACTCAAAGTAAAATGCATCAGATTTTTCTGATATTGAGTAATTCCTGTAGTCAGGCTTTTCTGGACAGAACAGATATAGGTGTCACATGAGGAAGAAGAGTGGGGAAGGACATTTGGCAAACTTTCTGAGTGTGTAGACATGAACAATTGTGAAGCACAGTTGTAACAATATACTTTTAAAGTAAGAAAAGTAAAATATTTGTAATCCGTGTTAGTTGAGGAGTTGTGTTGTTTTTTGGATAACCTAAGGAAAATATGTGAAAACTGGACAAAATATTCACACAGTATTGTACAACAGTGTATTATGATCCATTGGACTTGTTGATGTGAGCATGCAGTATTTATTCTGATTTCACAATTGCACCATTGCATCTCGCACTTTCATACACTGATTGCTTATCGGATTAGTTCTGCTGTTTAAGTCTGTTTACTTTGTTTCTCTGTAATGCCCTATGGTTTCTTCATCAAGAACCACTAGAGAACTTGGGGAAGCTGATTTCACTATGTTTGCCTTCACACGTAAGCTTTTGTGTGAAAATAATATAGAAAAGAAAACAGGAAAAATTGTTGCATAATAGGTATTAGTATGTAGGTATTTAATGTGTAATGTATAATATGATATGTACAGAGTATTAGTACCGGTATGTAAACTGTATGGTGGAATTATAGTGCTGATAAAACTAAGTGCTGCTTTTCCTCTGCTCCTTTTGTACATATGTCCATTTGTTTTGTGTGAAGCTTGAATAGGCACACATCTCTAATCATGCAGGAGTGATGTTGCAGAGATGAAATGGGAGTTTACTAAGAATAGTGGGGATTAGAGATTACAGTACTAGTAAGTGCCTGGGTGGTTATGTCATTACCCTGTGTACTGTCTCTCTCTCACACTCATTAGCTGTCATTGACAGGAGCCAGACTACAGACTTTGAGATCAATTCACAATGTAGCTGCCAGTGCCAGTTGTCGGGGCAAGGCTCGAATTCCATGAAAGAACAACAAAAGCCCACAATAATCTTATTAGAGGCCATTTTGGCTTTTAGTAGTCACTGAAAGGAAACCCAGTTCTTTTCCCATTACTCAGATGAGTCACACAGCCATGACTCTGCAGTATAAAGGAGAATGAGTATTTGAGGAAGTTGTTGCATTGAAAAGTGTGTGGGTGTCGATAACCTGCTCTTTTAAAGGCTGTGGAACAGAGCCCAGAGGTTTTGTGCTGCTTTGTGTGCTGTGTAAAAGGCAGTGCAAATGGAAACATCAGAGGAAAGACTATTGCATTGATGCTGGTGGCCAATAGTTTGGCCAAGAGCTGCTGAACTGCATTAGTAGAAAGGACTTTAGTTGGTGTCTACTTAGTGAGAACAGTTATGCAATGCTGATGCAATGCATAGACGATGGAAAAACTAAAGTGTGTAAAGCACCCTGGGAGAGTTGACACTTGATGGTGCTCATTGAGGTGCAAACCTTGAATGCAATGTCCTGGCCAGCACACACAATATCCCTTGCCATCTGGCCAACTCAAGCTTTAATTTAGTTTTGTACATGTTGTTTTTTCAATTGTTAGGTTTTTTTTCTGCTAACTATAATAATGCAAACCTTTCTCTGGACCACATATCCTTGTTTTTTAGAATTATTCATGAGTGTAGCTGAACAAAGATGGAACTTTACCTCAGGTGTTCAAATTTACAGATTTAACCCATTTTTATTGTTACACCATTTTCATTTTTAGTATGGCATCTCATGCGTTAACTTTAAATCGTTTTACTAAATTTTTCTGTGGTAGGTATATCTATCTTTTATAAGTCAACAATGACTGCAGTTGCCTTATGGAATCATATTCATTGAGGCATCAGTCTTATTTTAATTTGTGCCATAATATACAAAAAACAGGCAAGGGTCAGACTTTGTCAATACACGCGCTATAGATTGCTTATCTTAGTGTAAACGCCAAGTGCCACTGTTGTTTATTTCACATATTTTATGCTCTAGCTATTGTTTAGAAACAACTTTATTTTTATAGTCATTGTTAGTATTTTATTTAAATACTCAATGCGTAATCATCTTTCAATTAGGTAAACTTTTTTTTTGGTATATGTGTTATTCCAGGCTCGAATCCTTGTGGCATGATGAGCTTAAAAGAAAAGGACGTGAGGAGGCATCTCTATCCACAGTGTTCTGGCGGTTCTGCAGGACTCGTATGCTAGTGGCCATATTTTCCTTACTCCTAACAATGGTGGCAGGCTTTGCAGGACCTGTAAGTACTACTTTCATTATTATACAGAAATTATTCGGATTAAAACCGAAAACTCAAATGTGGCACTGATATCTCCTTTAAGCCTGTTGTGTACTGTACAAAAAGTGATCTAATCAGTTTATGCTTAATCCCTGCCATAGGTACACCGTGCACCCACTATCACACTCCACTAATAGCATTATGTGGACTTAGCTCACACAATAATAACTTTGTCATGCCATTTAATGAGCATACCGTTTTCTGCCTTGCCTTATTATAAATATGCATAATTGACTAATTTGTTCTTGGCCAAGATTCATTTAGGCTTTTAAGTATGAAACCTGAATTTTATATAAAGATGCAATTCTTCCACTTCTGAAGTAGACTCCCTCTGTGTCCCTGTTATCCTTGTTTTGTTCAGCCTTTATAGAGTTTTTTATATGCTGTCTCTGCCTGCTACCCCCAGGCTCTCCTGATCCGGGCTCTGCTGGAGTATTGCCAGAGCACAGAGAATGACATAATGTTTGGCCTGTCCCTGGTGGCTGGGATCTTCCTCATGGAGCTCACCCGCTCCTGGTCTGTAGCTCTCATGTGGGCCGTCAACTACCGCACTGCAGCACGTCTCAGAGGGGCTGCCCTAACGTTTGCCTTTCAGAAGATCCTCACTCTGCGAAGCACAAAGGAGATCAGTCCTGGAGAGGTAGAACTTTAAAGGGATAGTTCAGGTTTTTTGACATGAATCTGTGTGTCATCCCCGTCAGCAGTGTGATGCATCCTCACCGACTTTACCTACGAAAGTGTCCGGTGAGCCGAGATTCTGGCTGGTTTTGGTGCTGAGGAAAGTAGTTCGGCAAGTTGGCTGGGGACTGTATAATAAAGCATTTTTCTTGTCAAAACAATATGTGTTAAAAAGAGTGATACATTTGCACCACAAAACCATCGTCCTCGAAAAAGTCAGACCTCATAATCGCTTGGCACTATTTTCTCTCCGTACGTATCACTGCGCGCGGCCTCCAGGTGACAGCCATGCTTATTTCACTTTGTTTACTGCTGGGAATGTCAGCGACAACATGTTTAACTACGACACCGATGATGAAGAAACTGATTTTAGCACAGAGCCAATGGGATATCTTTTTGAACCCGAATATACCGATGCCAAAATTCGCCAGAGAGAGTTAGACGAAATTAGGCAGAGAGAGAGAAGAGGCAAATATTCCGAGCAGTTAACAAAGTGAAACAAGCGGTGCAGTGATACGTACGGAGAGAAAATAGCGCCAAGCGATTATGAGGTCTGACTTTTTAGAGGACAAAGGTTTTGTGGTGCAAATGTATCACTCTTTTTAACACATATTGTTTTGAGAAGAAAAACGCTTTATTAGTCTGTCCCCAGCCAACTTGCCGAACTACTTTCCTCAGCACCAAAACCGGCCAGGATCTCGGCTCACCGGATGCTTTCAGAGGTAAAGTCAGTGTGGACGCATCACACTGCTGACGGGGATGACACACAGATTGATGTAAAAAAACCTGAACTATCCCTTTAAACTGTGCTGAGCCACCCTTATTTATATTTCTAAGCCTTTGGTCAGGTTTCAAAGCATACCATTTTTATTTAATTCAGACGCTTGAGTAATCCTGTGGGTTGAGGTCAATCCCTTTTGGAGAACTCAAAACACTCTGTTTCATTGCTGTATACAAAAACCTGTAGAAGTATACCCCAAAAGGTCATCACCTAGTTTATATGATTCCATTTGATTACTACAAAGTAGTAATCTATCTTTTTATGTAAAAAGCCATGCTGTTGTCTATTTCAGCCTGTTTGATTCCCAGTTCTCATGAGTCCAACTTTTTTTCTTTGATTATACAATCAGAGCTTTAGTATACATTTACTGAAAAAAAATTGTCTGCAAGTCCATATACAAATGTGTCAAGTTTAACACCATCTAAACATTGTAAAAACAAGAAGAAAGACAAGAGATTAATCAGGTTTTACTCGCGAGGAGGGCGGACAGAGAGTGCATTCAGTTACAGTCTCCAATTCGCTCTGATCCACTCAGAGCCGTCTCCTCTTTTTATTTCCTTAGGATGGTCCCTAGTTACAATGGGTGTTTCTACTCTAAGGGGAGGGGGTGAAAACAGCAGAAACACCAGACATCATTATTCATTGTACAAATATGTGTTATCAACAACAGGTGACTGACAAGGTGCAACTATATAGCATTCAGTAGTCAGGGAGTAGTAAGGGACAGCTCCTTCCCTGCAACCTTGAGAACTGTCTCTTCCCAGCAGAGCGTTGAGTCAGCCGTTGTGCACGTGTGGGTGGAAGGTCACTGCATATAGTTTCTCAAGCACAAAGAGATTATTCAAATTCACACAAGTAAATAGTACATAGCAAATATGGGATAATATATACAATTATTCTAACAAAATGATTCATCAAAATATAATTTTACAGTCACACACAATGTGTGACAAAATCCATAGAAAGAAATTCTGTAACAATTCCACAGCTGACAGGAATCCTGTCAAACAAGTTATACAAATGTATAACTGAAACCTCTCTTTTTCTTCCACTCTAGCTGATCAATATGTGCTCCAGTGATGGCCAGAGGCTATATGAGGCAGTGTCCGTGGGCTGCCTGCTGGCTGGGGGGCCTCTGGTGGGGCTTCTGGGTCTGTCTTATACTGCATACTTCCTAGGACCCACAGCCCTTTTGGGATCTGCCATATTCATCATTTTCTACCCAGCCATGGTACAACACAAATCCAACTACAGTAGATTTACTTTTAATAATAAATTATTGAATGTTTACATGTTCACATATTAGTGGGGAACTTGGGGTATTAAAAGTAATTTAAAGTGATTAAAGAATAATTTAATTTGACACAACAGGAGACTCTGCTATTGATCCAAAAGACATGATGTTTTCCCCCTGCACAGACCTATGGCATGACTAATATGTTTGTGTCGGCTTTCAGTTCCTCTTACCTCCTTTGTTCCTGTCTGCACAGATGCTAGCATCGAGGCTCACGGCATATTTCCGAAGGAAGTGTGTGGCAGTGACCGACCGCCGTGTGAGGCTGATGAACGAGATTTTAGGCTGCATGAAGTTCATCAAGATGTACTGTTGGGAAGATGCCTTTGCCCAAAATATTCACAGTGAGTGGAAAAGAGTTTAGTAACAGTGTTGAGTTGGGATGTGTGCATACAGGACAGTGAACGGCATCATAGTAAAGTGCTTTGGGTTTGGGGCTAGAACATTAAAATTATTTAAATAATGTTTGCACATCTGTGCCAAACAAAAATCGCCAACCATAAAATTCTGATACAGAGCAAATGGTTCATTTTAATTATAAAATAATTTATTTACCATTTTGAGTCTGTGAGTGCTTCTAGGTGAAGAACTTTTTGAAATACAATGTGACCCTCCACAATAAAGAGTTAATTCATTTAAATCCTCATAATTTAGTGAGCTGATAAAAAGAGACCTGAGATTAGACTTTTCCTCTTGCTTAAAAAGATGAGATAACCCAAAATCCATTTTCATTAGCTCACAAAGACAATCCCTCCCTTCCAATCACAATCTGCTTCACTCCCTTGGCTCAAGGTTAATTTGCCAGATGTTTGGCCTTTTGAAACCTCCTTACCACTGTGGCTGTTGTACTGATTACTGAAAGATGACCACTTCTTGTGTGCCCACCATGTGGTGGATAAGGATCATTTTCTCTTTGTCATTACACCTCAGATTAGCCAGGTGGGCATCATTTGCCCCCTGTCTCATGATTACCTCTCATAATCAAAATTTATTGTCACTGAGCCTCACTGACAATTAGCTCCAACAATTACACTCTCATTTTCATTCAATTACACTAAATGATCTGTGCCATTTCCAAGGACATCTAGCATGTTATGGCTCAAAGAACAGAAGTAGCTAACATAATCAATGGGAAAAATATAGAAGAGAAGAAATATTGTAGTCTTTGCATTCTCTGAACTCAACTGGTTAATGCTGTGCACAGTGGAGTATAATGGAGATACAAACAGCAAAAGGGGAGGGCGCTCTTTTGGGTGCTTGACTTATCAGAATTCCGCAGCGTCTGAAGCCCTTATATGGATATGAGGCCCATGTTCACTTCATTGGTATCTATTTCAGTCAGCTGTCAAAACGATCTAGTCCTCTGTTGTGTGTAATGAATGTCATTTTTCTCCTTATGTACTCCACAGAGGTTCGGTCTGAGGAGAGGTCCATATTGGAGAGAGCTGGGATTGTCCAGAGTCTCACAGTTGGGGTGGCTCCCATAGTGGTGGTCATTGCCAGTGTATGCACTTTTACCCTTCACATGGCACTGGGCTATGAATTAACTGCTGCTGAGGTATTTAACATACTGTACTTTTATATTAAAACAATACCATGTTGTTACCCTCTTAAATCAATGCAAAGAACCAAATTACTCGCACTGAATTGGACACATTTCCATGTTTTAGGCCTTCACTGTGGTGGCTGTTTTTAACTCCATGACATTTGCCTTGAAAGTCACTCCATTAGCAGTCAGGGCTTTATCAGAAGGCGCAGTCGCTGTGAAAAGATTTCAGGTAAGAAACGTATATGAGTGAATGATTTGTTATGGTGTGGCAGTGCATGAGTGAAGAAATTGCTTAAAATATGCATTGTGTAACTTTTCTGGTGGAGGGTCTGTCAAATACTTTTCTCCATGGATTTGTTATTGCTTTGTCCAGAATGTTTCAGTGTATGGTATTAAACCTTTCTTTCTTCATGGAGACCAAACTACAAAGTTACAGTTCATATCTGTGGAGAGGCAACCTTGCTCACAGTCAAAAGAGCTGTTTAATGTCATACTATGGAACAGTCCAGGCAGAGCAATAACATCTTCATGAAGAAAAGCATTTGACAGACAGGATGCAAAGTTTAAATACTCTGAGATGCTACTTCCCTATGGTGTATACATCATGAGTTCTTGGGTAAAGGTTCAGTCTTAAAGAATAAAGTAACAATTCTTTTCACCATAGGAGGGTTTGGTTACTGGTTTTACCCTATAAACATATGCTCCTGTCTGATGAAAAGGATGGTTACACAACAGCCACAATATGAGGTGCTCAGAGAAATGTACTCAGGTCACATTTTTTTAGTATTTCAGTTAGATGGTAAAAATCACATGTTCATAAGAAATGTTTCTATAGACTCAGCAAGCGTTGCATAAGAGAGCATTTGTCAGAAATGTATTAAAAATGTATTTTGCAAGAAAGAATTTCGACTATAAGTGGGAATATTTTTTCCGTTCAAATTTTGGATAATAAAAAAGGGTTGTGTCAAGCAGAGCATGGGGCTGGAAAAGTGCCCAACAGTTGTCTGGATTGTCACACCTCAGTAAATTATAAATTAGCCTAATAATTTTAGGAAAGGATTATGTTTACCCTTTATATTGTTTTGACTGATATATCTCTATGATGTTGTGCCTTTTGACTACAAACATGGTGGACTTCTCCCAAAATGTTCAATGTATGACTAAACACTTCAATGTTTATGCCAAAGACGCATTAATACAATGCTTTAGTGATTTTAACTCAACTTAATTCTAATTACTAATGAGAGACTTGTCGTGCATAATTATTTTGCTTTTTAATGTGTTCCTTTACAGAGATTGTTCATGATGGAAGATCGACAGGTCATTCAAGTAAAAATGGATGACCCAAGCAATGCAGTGGAATTCCAAGGTGCTACCCTGGCATGGGAAAAGGCCAGTTCACCAGTAGTAAAGCCGAACCCTCCGCCCAAGAAGCAAACGAAGGGACGGGGTATGAGACGTGTGCTGCGGCGCGAGAAGCTTAGCCTGTACATCTCCACAGAGGACAGTAAAGGGACCAAAGACAGCCCCAATGCTCAGAGCCTGCTCACAAACATGGAGCAGGAGAGCCCGCAGAGCACTATATCCTCCACTCAGAGCATACGCCCACCACTTCACAAAACCCTACATCGAATCGACCTGCGTGTGAAGAAGGTAAAAACTCTAAATCATATATTATAAAGATGCGCATGTCCCACTCTTGTTAAATGAATCTTTCTGTAGGGTTCACTAGTTGGAATTTGTGGGGGTGTTGGTAGTGGAAAGAGTTCCCTTCTCACTGCTCTGCTTGGACAGGTGACTAAGCAATTTATTTAGGTTTTAGATTCAAATGCTTTCTAAATCTAATTCCCCTAAGTGGTGCTGCATTTTTTTAGATGACGCTTTTAGAGGGAAATGTAGCCGTAAGTGGTGGGTTTGCTTATGTGTCGCAACAAGCTTGGATCCTAAACCACTCACTAAGAGAGAACATCTTGTTTGGAAATGAATTCGAACCACACAAGTAAGTTTAACAGTTTATTCTGATTAATTAGGGAGAGAAATAACTTCTAAATAAACGTTCAATCTTCCAAAGATATAACTCCATCCTTGAAGCATGCTGCCTCCTCCCTGATCTGACAGAACTACCATATGGAGATATGACAGAGGTACAGTATCATTCAATTCTGTGCTTAATAGTAATGTTACCTTACCAAAATACAAATTATATGAAGGTGTTTATGTTTAGATTGGGGAGAGAGGAGCTAACCTGAGCGGAGGACAGCGGCAGAGAGTGAGCCTGGCCCGAGCCCTGTACAGTGACCGTCCTATTCTTCTCCTGGATGACCCTTTGAGTGCAGTGGATGCATGTGTGGGCTCACATGTCTTTCATAAAGCCATTAGGGGAACTGCCAAGGGCAAAACTGTGCTCTTTGTTACCCACCAGCTGCAGGTGAGTGTCTGGGCTCTGTGTGCATCTCTTAAAGACTGACTTGTATACTGGTGGAACTACATTCTAATTTGTAAACCTCAACATTTTCAGTATTTGCCCGATTGTGATGATATAATCCTCATGAATAATGGGCAGATTGTGGAGCACGGCACCCATGCTCAGCTAATGGAGAAAGGCCGTGACTATGCCATACTATACAACAGCATGCAACAGGAGGTAAGCCCAGAGGCATCGAATGCTGCTGGCCAGAGTCAGGCATCTCTGGCCAGATTACACAATACATCGTACAGTACCGCTAAATAATTCATGGAAATGTAGACCCAGTGGCTAGGAAATGCTAACACTACCAGGTCCTTCATTATTTATGTGTGCATTGATTTACTGTTGTTCTGCTGAAGACCCTGTCACCAATAAGGCTATTTAAATGACTTGCAGGACCAATGTTGGAGTGATTCACTGTGTGTGTTACACCTGAGGGGACATGCTTTAAGTTTAAGTACATTTTTGTTGTTTCGTAGAATATTGTAAAAGCCAATTTGAAAAACAAAGGGCATAAAACAGGTGCAGAAAAGCCGCAAGCCTGTCTGGATGTTGCCAAAGTCAAACCAAAGAAAGATAACAACAAGCAAGGTACAAAACATTTTTATGGATGACCTTGGAAGCAAATGCTGTTTGTCTTTTGATTGTCTGTTTTTGTTTATTTGTTTTAGCACAACTGATGAAAGCTGAGGAGAAAGGGCGTGGGGGTGTCGCCTGGTCTGTGTATGGCTCATACATAAAAGCAGCAGGTGGTCCACTCATCTTCATCATCAACGTCCTCCTCTTCTTGTCCACCACCGGCAGCATAGCCTTTAGCAACTGGTGGCTGAGTTACTGGATCAGGCAGGGCAGTGGGGTGAGTGGTGAGCCTTGTGATCTTTTTTATGTGTGTCCTGTTGTTTGCCTCTCTAAAGAAATGGCTTTAATGTGGTGGGTAGTACTCAATTTACAGTAACTTCAGTAAATTTTTAAAGAAAAAGAACTACTTGCACCTACTTGAGTAATAGTTTTATTAAAGTAAAAGTACTTTTAACTTTTGAAGATACCATATTTTGTGCATTGTTGAATATTTTGTCCTTCAATTTTGCTACTTCAAATTATAAATCAGATTCCAGAAAGTTACTTGAGAAGTAGTTTACCTAAATAGGTTTTTATTCCAAGCAGTAATTTCTTGAACCATTACTTAGTACTTCTACTTCAGTAACATTACTTTGAATTAACGATACTTATTTAATGAGTACTATTTTTGGTGGGTAGACCTCTCCTCTACGGTAAACTTAATTAAAAACAAGCAGGCGGGCAAGAAACAGATGTGCTACTAAGCAGGTGGTTGCTCTTTTTAAGGAACATAGCTGAGATTGCTAGCACGCATGGACTTCCTGTTTGTCAAGCTGCTTTTTAAATTTAATCCTCAACTTTTTATGGTTTAGTAATTTGTTGCTCCATCTGCCCCTAGAACACATCATTAATCTTCACAAATGAAACTACAGCGAGCAACAGCATGAACCTAAACCCTCACATCCAGTTTTATTCCAACATCTACATTGCATCCATGGGAGCTGTGGTGACTCTGAAGACTTTAAGAGGTCTGGTCTTTGTAAAGGTAAATTGTCTGAGTACACAAAGTTATATCAGTGCTTCTTTAACTGGGCTACTGTCTGGTACATTATTGCTATGCAGGATCTTTCTATTGGGAATGGGTGTCTCGTCCTTATGATAAACGACCTTATGCCAAGTGAGCAATGTGGGAATGAATCCACCAAATTTTTAACTTTACATATTTTATTTATTTATGAGTAAAGTGCATAACAGTATTTGGGAGATCAGTGGTAGGTAATATACCAAAACATGAATAATATTATAAATATTACTATGAATAAATACAGCATTTGAATATGAAGTATATGGTTTATACTGGAAAAATGCTGTAAATAGCTAATTAAAAATGTGTAAACGTGAATGTACTTTTGTGTGTTTTACAGGCCTGAATACTTTTATTGTGATTCTCTTAAAAAAAATAAATAAAAAAATAGGCACTCATTTTTGTCACTATAGCCCACCCATATCAGACATGTCAATAATAATACACAGAAACCTAGTGATAAACTGAAAACTGTCTGCTTTCGAGCTGAAACTGTTGAAGCTGAAGTAATGGATTCATGAGCTTGTTTTGGGCTTCCTCCTGAGGGGACACAACCCTTGCTTCAGTAAGCAATGGATAAGCACCTCTAGTGAGATAAAAAGTTTCGGGGTGGTACTTTGTGCAAATAATGCGTGAAACTCATTTACTGTTCATGTCACTTGTTAATCAAAGGCTCTAGGGAATATATTCATTAGTTCGGGACGTCTGCCCTCTATTTCCGTCTAACCCATGGTGACACTGCATTCAAGAGGTATTCCGAGGTTCCCCACGTTATGATGCCATTTCAAAAAGATGATTTTTCAGTCACGGCAAATCATTTCTTACCTCTAGCTGTGAGCTGTTGGGGAGTGCTATATATTCCATTAATAGAAATTATTTGTTTTCAGCTGTCACACTGATTCATAAAAGAATCAAGCATGACAGACGTTCATGACTGTATGTTATTTATTAATCCTTATCCTTATTTACATGGTACTGGTACGTATCTATGGTTTCTCCTATAGTGTAATAGTTCTTCTAGGTATTTTTAATGTCATGTAAATTTTTATTTTGAGGCCGATATTGTTTATGTCTGACAGTGTACGGTGAAAGCAAGCTCCAAACTCCACGACAAGCTTTTTCAACAGATCCTCCTCAGCCCCATGCACTTTTTCGATACAACGCCTCTGGGTCGTATTCTGACCCGCTTCTCCAGAGACATGGACGAAGGTGAGCTTTGATTCATCTCGAGTGTGAAACGTTCCCTTTAGAGAGAACTCAGTCTTTGAAGTCATTCTGTCTGACTTGGTGTAGTGTTGAGGTACAGTGTGATTTGACATGGTACATTGAGCCATGTGATTCACTCTAGGTTTGACTGACAAGCTGATTTCTGCTTGTAAAACCTAATGGCCCAAATAACAGGCTTCAATATATAACAGGTTTTAATACCAATATATTGTATGCTATTATTTAAAATGGTGAGTCTGATAAGGTCTGTATGTCTTACAGTGGATGTACGCTTGGCAATGCAAACTGAAATGGTGCTACAGAACCTGACATTAGTGCTGTTTTGCATGGGAATGGTGGGCACAGTATTTCCCTGGTTCCTGATTTCCATTCTGCCCCTGGGAGCCTTCCTCTGGATTGTGAACCGTGTTTGCAGGTCAGTTCTTTAAGAAAGGGCATGGTATTCTTATGAGAGATTTGGATTTTGGTGGTGACTGCAACTTTTGTTATCTATAAAATGCTATTTACAAACAAAGTAAATCTATATGTGGATATTTGTATAAAATAGTTGAAGTCTTTTGTAGCTATATCATTGAATGTTCTGTACTAGGTATTTTCATCATTTATGCAAGAATCCAAGAATTGTGTAGTAAAAATAAATCCTAAAGGGGAAAGAACACAGGTGTCTGTTGAAACAGCTACACTTTTCCTCATTACAATGATCAAGTGGACTCTCATTGTGCAATTTGCTCTGCATTAAAATAGAAATATAGTTCACTATTTTAAAAGCAGCTTGCATTTACACACAAATGTAAAAATGCCCAGGGCATAAACATGTCAAACTCACATACCATTTGCTGAAATGTTGGCATCTAAATGTAGAAATGTACCAACCACATTGTGGCCCAAATGCTCTCCATGCTCACACCATCATGTTAAAGATCACGGAGTACACATCATTCTCTGTGTACATAAGTGTGAAATGAAAATACATATAGGAACTCTTTTGTAATACCTTTCCATCTACACAAATTTGCATTCAGTCAAAATGAAAATCATGTTCTTATTATTTTCAGAGTCTTGATTCGTGAGCTTAAGCGCTTGGAAAACATCAGCCAGTCTCCATTCACATCTCACATAACCAGCAGTTTACAAGGATTGTCTACTATCCATGCCTATGGAAGAGGGCAAGACTTTGTTCAGAGGTGGGTTCATTTTTCATCATTTTTTCATTTTTTTCTGAATTCAGTGATACATGTTCTCACAATATCGTTTTACAGTTCACCTCTAGGTCAGTGAAAACACCAAACCTAGTCCAGCAAATCAGAGTGGAAATGAGAGCCTAGAGTTTTCTTTGCTTTTTACATATAAAAATATATATTTTTTCTCTTTTCAGATATCAAGAATTATTGGATACCAACCAGGCCTCCAACTACCTCTTCAGCTGTGCAATGCGATGGCTAGCTGTGCGCCTGGACCTGATCAGCGTCTTTCTCATCTCTAGTGTAGCACTTCTCATTGTTCTCATGCGAAACCAAATACCTCCAGCCTACGCAGGACTCGCCATCTCTTATGCCGTGCAGGTCTATAAACAAATAACTTGGGGTTGGGCATACGAGGTAAAGTGGGTTTAAAATAGACTAATGCCTTGTTCCCTTTGACTTTCAGTTAACAGGCTTGTTTCAGTTTACCGTGAGATTGGTTACTGAGACAGAGGCTCGGTTTACATCCGTTGAGAGGATCAACCATTACATAAAGGTAAAAGAATTGATTGGTAATGGAATTGTGGAAGGATAATATGCTCAGGCACGAAAGGATAATAATATAATAGGTTTACTTGTTTAGATGTAATAATGCAGAGAATTCACATGTCTGTGTTCGTATAGGGGATTTGTCTTGCGATGTCTATTAGAAGCTAGTCATGATTGCTTCTTTCCTTAGTGTTTGGACAGTGAGGCTCCCAGACAGAGTCTAGAGCAGAGTGCTCCTGCCCCCTCCTGGCCCCACCAGGGAAAAATCACCTTCCAGAATGTGGAGATGAGTTATAGGCCTGACCTGCCTCTGGTGCTGAAGAGTGTGTCTTTCAACATCCTACCACAAGAGACGATTGGCATAGTGGGTCGCACAGGATCAGGTACAGCCCACCCCTCTTTGGCTCTGCTCTGTATTACAGAATGGAGTTAATGGTTTACTTTTCTACAGGAAAGTCCTCTCTGGGCGTTGCTCTCTTCAGGCTTGTGGAGCTGACAGGAGGCTCCATCATCATAGATGGAATCGATATAGCTCAGATTGGACTGGATGACCTCAGGAGCAAACTTGCCATTATTCCTCAGGAGCCTGTTCTCTTTATTGGCACAGTCAGGTAATCTCTGTTTTAAATATAGGCAGTCATTGACATCTAGAATATTTAAAAAAAAAAAAAAAACTGAGTGGGAAGATGTTTTCATCGACCAACACACTTTTTTGTTCACTAGGTCTAACTTGGACCCATGGGATCAGTACTCTGATTCTGAAATATGGGAGGCACTTGAGCAGACACATATCAAAGAAATGGTGGGTGACACTTGTTATATTACAGAGAATATCCTACATTTTGGTAAGAATCTAATTTAGTTTTCTCTGTTTAAAGGTGAGCCAGCTTCCTCATTCTCTCCTCTCAGAGGTAACAGAAAATGGAGAGAACTTCTCAGTTGGAGAGCGGCAGCTGCTCTGTGTAGCTAGAGCCCTGCTGCGCAACAGCAAGGTACTCATTATCACTCAATGACATTTAGGTGTCAATATATTTGTAGTCAATGCAGCAGCAGAGCATACTGAATTTATTATAATAATTATTTATTTTTTTATTTTTACTTTCTTAATTGTTTACTTTTGGTGGAATTCTCCTTCTGTTTATAGATTCTTATTTTGGATGAGGCAACGGCAGCTATTGACACAGAAACCGATCGCCTCATTCAGGAGACTATTCGCTCGGCATTTGGGAGTTGCACCACTCTCATCATTGCCCATCGTCTGAACACCGTCATGAACTGCAGCAGGGTCATGGTACTGGATAATGGCCAGGTAAGTGCAATGCATCCTCAGCACTGCAATAAATGTTATGAAAACTTACTTTAAAGGCCCCATTTTAATCTCTAACTGGTTTGAGATTTGCTGTGGTCCCACTATTACCAGCAGAGGACTTCTCAAAGCAGGGAAGGGGCAGAGGACTTGCTTATTTGAGGCATATTTGTTGATTGATTGATAGCATTTATATAGCGCCTTTCAAGATACCCAAAGCGCTTTACAGTTCATTATTCAGTCACTCCACACTCAGTGGTGGTAAGCTACTACTGTAGCCACAGCTGCCCTGAGGCAGACTGACGGAAGCGAAGCTGCCAATCTGCGCCATCGGCCACTCCGACTACTACCATCACTTACGCTATTTGTTAATATTATGTGAAATGCCAATGTTTGCTTCAACCCAAAAATGCATGCCACTTTAAAACATTGATCTCCAAAATTAACATATTGCTTACCTTTCAATAATTGTTTATTTTGTTTTTTGTAGATTGTGGAGTTTGACAAACCTGCTTTCTTGCTGGCAGATGAAAACTCAAGATTTAGAGCCATGATTGAGGCAGCAGAAAATCAAAGCAGCTAGTCTTGTATGTGGTACAATAGCAAACCTTTAAAAAAACTGATGTTGCACAAACTCACTACTGATCCTGTCCTGTTATTGCTCTCTCAAGACACGGTCTGTACAACATGAAGTTTGAAAACCAAAGACAGATTCCATGTTTATGAAGCATTGAAGGCCAGATGGGTAGTAAAACTTAGCAATAACAATTCTTCTTTTTATTAGATAATAGATGGCAATGTATTTTGGCCCATCCTTTTGTTTTCCTCAAATAGATCAATACATTGTATTTTATTTATATAAGAATGCTAAACTATAGTGCTGAAGTTCACTGTGAAGAAAGCTTAGTACAATCATTACCTTCATATTCGTTGTTGATCATATTAACAATTCTATAGTAAAAGATCTGAGATTATAGGTATGTTATACTACTGGATAATTCAGTATCCTTTATTTAAGATTTGAGTGAAACATTGCTAAATGCAGTGTATTTCATTCATCACTGTGTTGATGTGTATAATATCTATTTTTGGTTCACAATTAACATTGTATTTGCACGTTATATGTGTCGAAAGATTCCAGGTCATGTAATGGAAATAGCCATACATATATTTTATACATGTAGTGCACCATTGTCTACTTCTCTACTGTCTAAATCCAAATGCTGATGTTTAAATTATGCACATATTGGTATTAATAGAAATATGGGGGTACTTAACCTTTTGTGACAAGGGTAAAGAATGGAGAGTGATGTCTTCAAATGTTGTCTGCCTTTATAATCAAGCATATGCTTAATAATGCAGTGCAATATTTTTATTGTATTGACTATGGCCTTTGACATGTATACTTGTTTACTCGTGGTGTTTTTAAAGGCTTAATTTTTAAAGTCTTGTTTTCAATAAAATATTTTTTATATATGTTGGCTCATGGTTTATTTAAACTTCAATGCATATGTCATAAACTAATATCAATCATGTAATGTAACCAATAATAAAAAAAAAAAAAAACTAAAATATTATTATTTTTTACATGTAAATAAAAGTACAGCCAGCCTTGTCTTCAACAGCCAGCTTTAATGCGCAGTGGGTCAATGACATGAAAAGCCCACGAGCATTAGTCTACTCGGGTCACACAAGAACAAACATGCAGATAATTTCTCTGTTCGGTGCATATAAGTTGCAAGCGTCACTGCACACTTAGGTCTGTAAACTATGGTACTCAAAAAAAAAAAAATATATATATATATATATATAGCATTTAAGTTTTCGGCAAGAAGCATTTAAATAGAAAAGGCCCTAAACTCTCCATGCATCTATAAACAATTTGCATGTGGAGTAATATTTTGCAGGAGTTGTGCCGAGTGCGCTTCCGGGAAGTGTCAGTGTTGTGTTGTGGCTTTGGTTTAGGGCCGCTCTGCTGCTCGGGAGGAGGAGGAGGAAAGCCCAGGCTCTGGCTCTGGTTGTGATGCCGCTGGATGATGGCTGCTTTCGGGATATTAAGTTACGAACACCGGCCTTTAAAGCGGCCCAGACTCGGCCCTCCAGATGTATATCCACAAGATCCAAAGCAAAAAGAGGTCAGTGTAAACGACGTGCCTTGAAAAACTCCGGTAAAAGCGTTTCTGGAACAGGATTTCCACCCGAGCTGCTTCGCCTGCTAACACTAGCTAGCATGTTTAGCCTAGCCTTTAAACGAGCTGGGGCCTTGCAATAACAATGAACAGCTCCTAGTTGTCAGTGTGCTAACTGCAAGGCTTACTTGGACAAACACATAGCCGTGTTGATTGCCTATTAATTATAGAGGTTGATCTCATGAACAATATTACATTCAATCTTTTTCTTAACTTGGCTAGACCACCATAGTACTCTTGTGGGTTTGTGCGTGACCAGTAATTGTTATAATGTTTTGGTCTTTCGGGATTGCTAAAGCTGCATCGCTAACGAATATCAGTTGGATTTTGCTGAAGACTGAAGATCGAATTCCCTTCCTTTACATAACAGTGATTAGATGCATAATTATTTACACCGTTTTGCAATGTTAAGCTGTACAGCAAAACTAAAATGTCATCGTAATTGTAGAGTGACCTAAAAACAGCGGCGACTAAGCTGGTTACATGATAACTTTTTAAATAAAGGGAAATTGCAAAAATGTTATAACCTGGACTATGCTCACCCTGTCGTCTAAACTAGGCTTCAGTGTGAAAATATTTAGCTGCCTTTTAAAAACGAAAAGGCATATTTTTTATGAGTTGTGCAGAACAGTTATGAATGATTAAAGCTTTTATAGACGCGGTCAATTATTACAATTAAAATAAACACGCTTACAATTGATACAATTTGTTAATATTAGAATTGCAAATGTTTTCTTGAATTATAATCTTGTTATTTCAGGATGAATTAACTGCCCTGAATGTGAAGCAAGGATTTAATAATCAACCAGCGGTGTCAGGAGATGAACATGGCAGTGCAAAAAATGTCAATTTCAACCCCTCCAAGGTAAACCTTAGTGCTATTAAGTGATTTATGGGTTTTGTTTGTTATCAGTGTCATTCAGTTGTTTGTATGTTTATGTATTTCCAGATCAGTTCCAACTTCAGCAGTATCATTGCGGAAAAGTTGCGTTACAATACATTCCCAGACACAGGGAAGCGCAAGCCACAGGTCAACCAAAAGGATAATTTTTGGCCTCTCACTGCAAGGTCACAGAGCTCCATCAATAATTGGTTTACAGACTTAGCAGGGACTAAACCTCTGACACAACTGGCTAAGAAGGTAACTTTAGTTAATTAATCTCTAAAAGGCTTCTTTTATAATGGGGTAATTAATATGCCGCACTATGCCCTTTAGTATTTTTCTAAATTAATTTGTGTTGTATTCAAATTGAGACCAGCTGTTCATTTTTCCAGGTTCCAACTTTCAGCAAAAAGGAAGAGGTTTTTGGATACTTGGCTAAGTATTCTGTGCCTGTTATGCGTTCAGCCTGGATGATAAAAATGACATGTGCTTATCATGCAGCCATCACTGAAACAAAAGTTAAGAAGAGACATGTGATTGACCCTTGTATAGGTATGGTGATGGCTTTTCTTTATCTGTTGAATTTGTAAATAATTGAGTGACAGGTGAGTTAACCATCCTAATGTGTGTGTGCAGAATGGACACAGATCATTACCAAGTACCTATGGGAACAGCTGCAGAAAGTGGCTGAGTTCTACAGGCAGTTTCCCAATCAAGGCTGTAGCTCACCTCTGCCAGCACCACCTCCTGATGTGGAGCAAGCCATGAAACAATGGGAGTACAATGAAAAACTTGCCATGTTTATGTTTCAAGTGAGTTTAAATATTAATTCTCCTAAGGTTCTTGTCAAACAGGGTATTTTACTAATTACCTTGTTTGCCTAATAGGATGGCATGCTGGACAGGCATGAGTTTTTGACATGGGTGCTGGAATGCTTTGAGAAGGTGCGACCAGGTGAAGATGAACTGCTCAGACTCCTATTGCCTCTTTTACTGCAGGTAATTTTTCATCCTTTTTTCATAATCTTTTCCTCTTTGTACTTGGACAGTGTATATTTTACTTTCCGTCCAGCCTCTCCAGCTGTCGGTAGTTATGCATATTTCGGTGCATGTTTTTAGCGCGCAACATTTAAGCCGTGCTGACCTTTACTGAGGTTCCGCAGCCGTTCATATGGCTATGTTTTCACAGCTGACTAATTTTAACAGACACCAAGAGCTATGTGTAATGCTGTGAATCTCTCCCATCACGCAGTACTCAGGGGAATTCGTCCAGTCAGCTTACTTGTCACGAAGACTGGCATATTTCTGCACACGGCGCCTCAACCTGTTGCTTAGCGACGGGAGCTCTGGCACAGGAGGACATCCAGCTCATGGCATCTTGACACAGCAAGGAAACGCCCTGCCCCCCACCCCGACATCCCAGCCTGCAGGAGGGAGCCAGGCCCAGACGCCATTTACAGACTTTTATAACTGCCCTCTGCACAGGCCTCTGGTTTTTGGGCTCAGTTGCATGTTACAGGTATTGCACTACAGGACCATAAGAATAACTGCAGTCAGATTGAAATTGCTAATTTGATGATTGGCTTTAGAAAATCACAAAGATTGCATTTATTTTATAGAGGTATCTCGTAAAAGTTAGATTAGGTATCTACAAACATGTTCTGAAATTCTTTTGATTCCTGTATTAAGGTACATTATGTAACTTTTATGACGATGGGTCCTCTTGTTGTCTCCATTGTAATGAGTAAAATGCTACTCTTTGGAACATTCAAAGCAATAATATATCCATGGACATAAGCAAGTTGCACACACTTCACTAGAAAAGTTAGATAGTGTGCCTTTTAACAGTTCATAATTAAGTCTCTCAAATGCTAATGTTTCTGTACTATGCTAATGTTAAAAATGTAGACTTTAAACTGAAATGAATGGTTATCAAAAATAAATATCATTTTGATGAAGTTTGTTTTCTAGATGCCTAACCCCTTTTTATAATGTTTCTTCCATTACAGAGTATAGCACTGTGTTGTCCCAGTGCTCTTGTGTGGCACTACTCACTGACAGATAGTCGAAATAAGACTGGTTCTCCTTTGGACCTCCTGCCTATTGCCCCATCCAGCTTGCCAATGCCAGGGGGCAACACCACATTCACCCAGCAGGTCACCTACTTTTCACTATTTAAATTATTCACAGCCTTTGTAACATGAAAAGATGATAACATGGCTTCTTACTGCAGGTCCGGGCCAAATTGAGAGAAATTGAGGAACAGATCAAAGAGAGAGGTCAGGCGGTGGAGTTTAGGTGGTCTTTTGATAAATGCCAGGAGACTACAGCAGGTTAGAAATGAAAACGATACATCTCCCGACTGACATAATTTAACATAATTGTGTGGAGAAAATGGTATGTTATTTTGTTTTGTTTTTTCTCAGGTTTCACAATTGGGAGAGTTCTTCATACTCTTGAGGTTTTGGACAACCACAGTTTTGAAAAGTCTGATTTCAGCAACTCTTTAGATTCCCTTTATAACCGGATATTTGGATCTGGGCAGAGCAAAGATGGCCATGAGGTAAGGAATAAAGATGCCTTAAAGGCCACTAGATTTACACTACACTATAATGTGCTGTAATGTATTTTTCCCTTAGATGTCCCCAGATGATGATGCTGTGGTGACTTTACTTTGTGAATGGGCTGTTTGTTGTAAGCGCTCAGGCAGACACAGGGCCATGGTGGTTGCGAAGCTGCTGGAAAAAAGACAAGCTGAAATAGAAGCAGAGGTAAGTGAGCAACACTTTTAAAACATATGGTAACACTTAATAAAGACTGCACATTTTGATCGTAATAAAGCATGAATATACTTACTTCATAATAGACTAATAGTGAAGTAGTTACTAAGTTAATAATTCTTAATTAAGGGTTAGGAATTAGGGTATAAAGTATTTACTAAGCTTGATTTCTTAATAAGATGCTTGTCTTTTGTGAATGAAGTCTTTTTTCATACTTTATTGAGTCTAATTAAGGCATATTTCTCTTTACTCTAAAATGTTACCCATAAGTTTATTTCTTCCCTCACAACCATTTTGTGTGTTTACAGAGGTGTGGTGAGTCCGAGGTGGTGGACGAGAAGGGCTCGGTGTCCTCTGGCTCACTCTCCGCTGCCACACTACCAGTCTTTCAAGATGTGCTGCTCCAGTTTCTAGACACTCAAGCTCCCACTCTGAGTGAGTCGCCCCTCTCTGATTCATCTAATGTTGCGAAACAGATTTGGTTCTGAATAACCTGACAATTTTCTCAGCTTATGAAACATCTTGGGTGCCATTTTCCTGTAGTGGTTTGGTACCAATGTCGTAAAAGGATTGTAAAAAGAGGCAGATGGCAGGCACATAAATTGACTGGGCATTTTTGAACACT